TAATACATAATGTAATACTCTCTCCGTCCCATAACAAAATATTTATTTTTCTATTTTAGTCCGTCTCATAACAAAGTATCCATTTCATTTTTTAGTAACTGTACTATCTACCTAAAATTACAGATACTCTTACAACTTACAATATATTACACAAATATCATTACCTTTATATCACACATACTAATAAGATTATTTTAGTTATTTCTACTTTATTCCTACTATATCCCAATATAATATTAATATTTTTAAAATTACGTAAAAAAGCAAATGAATATTTAATTGCGAAACAGAAAGAGTATTATTAAATTTATACTTACAATTGGTTTCAACACAATTATATATATAACATATATGTATACTTTTTTATTTAACATAACTTGTAATATTTTAAATAAAAATATTTGTTATTTATTTATTTATATGATATTGATTTATTCGGTCAACATCATAATCATACTTTTCACAAATATATACAAAATTGATGTTTTTTATCTTTTAGTATTTTAATTTTTTTTATATATTATTTAATCTTTATAAAAATATATTATTCATTCTTATCATATACTAATAAATCTAATCTAATATACAAACAAAAAAAATTAAAAATAAAATAATATATATATATCATCAACTAAACACATCCGTTAGAACACATTTAAATGATTTTTATACGTATTTCAATTACAACAACAAAATAATAAGATGGTTCAGTTACAAAATTTTAAAAAAAAAATCATTAAAAATTGAATCACAAAAAAATTAAATGAAACAAAATTATTTAATTAATTTACTATATATTTTTTAATTATTAACTATTAAAAATTTAAAATGAGCTGTTATAAAGAAAATAGACAACTTTAATTATAATACATGCATGTTGTCAAAATGTGTCTTCATCAAAATCATGATATTATAAGGCGGACAAAACACGTGCCCTAAACTATCTTATGCATGCATGAATCACATTCTCCTTTTATTATTAGATTGTTAGTACTCCCTCCGTGATACGGGATGAGTCCTTTTACTAGGGATACAGGATTTTAGGTATTCTAAATTAATAAATTATTAATAATAAATTATGATATTAATTTGTTATTTTTTATATGAATAATATTATTGGTATTTTAAAAAGTTTTAAAATTATATTTCAAAAAAATATATATAATATGTATATCATTTTATAGATAATAAAATTTTATATAATACAAATAAATAAATATTATCATTACCGTAAATTAGTTTTATAAAAAATAAAGAGTTTTAAATATAGATAAAAAAAATTATGTTAATTGAAGAGAGAGATAGAAATAAAGGAGTTTTGAGTGAGTCCTAGCAGTAAGATGTTAGAAGTTTAATTAAATTAATTTATATTTGTTAAGTATATTTGGTATCCTCTTTTGTGAGACGGATTAAAAAGGAAAATGGATCATCTGTAGCGGGACGGAGGGAGTATATAAGAATAATTTATACAGCCTAAATTGTATATTAATACTATTATATACACACAACACTTCAATCCGGTTCAATTGAAAAATATTTATTTTCTATTATAGTAAAAATTACATATTAATATCAAAATATCTTTTCACGTAGAGTTTAAGAGGTATTACATTCATTGAAATAATAATTTAGTTGATTTTTTGTGTACTTTTATATTTTAATGTGATACACTCTTTCCGACCCGTAGTAAACTATCTTCCCGTAGTAAACTATCTATTTTTTCATTTTAGTCTGTCTCATAACAAAGTATCTATTTTTTTTTAATCCGTCTCATAACAAAGTATTCATTTCTTTTTTTTAATAACCGTACTATTTACATAACATTACAAATATCCTTACAATTTATAATATATTACACAAATGTCATTATATTTATATCACACAATACTAATAAGGTTATTTTAGTAATTTCTACTTTATTCCTACTACATCTCAATATAATACTAATATTTCTAAAATTTTATGCAAAAAGCAAACGGATACGTAGTTATGGGATGGAGGGAGTAATAATATTAAAATAAATTAATACTCCATCCGTCTCAAATGCAAGGGATTTTTTGAGATTTTGTGGTAAATTATAAATAATACTTCATCGGCCATACTTACCATATTCATCTTTTCATTTCTGTTTGACCTACTTATCATGTCACTTTTCATTTTTGATGGAATTATACACTTTAATTTTTTTATTTTTAATTTTATATGATAATTATTTACTAATTATACTCCTCTTAAATTCTCGTGTCTCCAGTAAATGAGACATCGTAGCAGGGACGAAATGAGTATTTTATTGATAATTGAAAGTGTATAAAAAGTTTTGTCATTTTTATTCTTTGAAAGATATATAAAATAATTGTATGCCTAATCGAATGTTTGTAATTTAAGTAAAACTTAAAAATATTTTGATAGTATTGTATTATTATTTTTTCTAAAATAGAAAAAATATACTATTGAGTGAAACAAAAAAAAAATAGTAAAAAAAATACTTTGAATTGGACTGGAGGGAGTATAAGTTTAAAGTATTTGTTATATGCAAATCTACATTTATTAAAAAGCCAAATATATATATATTTATTTATTTTTAGCGCGAAGTTTAAAAAATAATAGTATTTTAATTACAATGATTAGTTAAAAGTAGTATAAAAATAATTTTCTTTTTGTAAAAATAATGATGTGAAGGTAAAATAAAAATATTTATGAAAATATATATATATATTTAATGAAATGATTATTTTGTAATTAAACAACCTAAAATAAAAAATATATTTTTTTTTCTTGGATTAAGCATTTAGTTATATATAAAATGAAAGATATAAATATGAGTAGACTTAGGGAGCAACGAAAACTCATTGGAGTACTATTCAACAATAATTAGTTTGGTTTGAAAATATTTTATATTTAAATAATATCTGATAAAATATTTTCTGAAAATATATATTTATATTTTAAAAAATACAAAATTCAAATAATAATTTTTTAAAAAAACTAAAAAATTATTAAAAGAACACACCCGTAAATCCTTGATGTCTATTTATAACATCTCATGAGTTACCTTCATATTTTTTGCCCCAACTCAAAGTAATATTTCTATTCAAAAGTAGTTTTTTTTTTTCTGTTTGAGTAGAAATAATTATATATTAATACCAAAATATCTTTAACTTTTACCTAAATTACAAATATACTATTCCGTACAGAAAGCCGACTAATGTAGGCAACACATATTTAGGCGCAAAATTATGTTAACAAAAAGAAAACACACCCAACGAGTTTGCTATCTTTTTCGTTTTGTTTTTCTCTTGACTTTGATATTTTAAGAAAAGATAATACTTTTTTCATTAATTTAATAAGTTTATATTTATCTTTTGCGTTATTGTACTTAACCTTAAATATATTCTTAAATTTGTATAACTCTTTATACAAATGTCATTATATTTGTATTACGAAATACTAATAAAAATATTTTCATCATTTTTCTTTTTTATATAATAATTAATAATCAAATATCACAAATAATAGATAAAATAGCATAAAAGTCACCATTTTCGAAAATTATATGAAACTCGGTATCACTTAAACTTACACCAGAAGGGTGTGTTTCTTTGGGGGATTTTACCCCAACTTCATTATTCATCCAATTTTTTTTCTAAAAAAATATCAAATCAAACATCTATTTTTTATTTTTTATATTATACTAAAAATTAATTTTACATTCAAAGTATCACATCAATACCTATTTATATCACATCATACAACTATTCTAATTCAAATTTTTTTACTATTCAAATCCCAATTCAAAATCCAAATTCCCAAAACAACCACACCCTAAAAATGGGACTGTTTTAGACGCAGCATAACTGCAAAGACAATTCAAAAATTCAATTATTACAAAGTCACTTATAATTAATGGCGGATTGAAACGTAAGATTTTTAAAACTTAACATTTAAAAAAAAAATACAAAATGACACAATTTAAATATAAAAAAGAATTTCATGCAATTTCATAAATAATAGGTAAATTTTATATTATTTTACCTATAATCAAGACTGTCTTCAACATTTTTTGGATTTTAAGTAAAAATAAATTATAAATTCTATAAACACAATTAAAATATATTTTTAAAATAATAATTGACATTAGCATCGATTGAACAAAAGGTTGAAAGTAACGTCTAAAAATAAGACGGGCAATCTGGAGGTTCAAAAAACGAGAAAAACTGAAGAAAGATGAAAGAGAGAGAAAGTGAGACGAATTTGGTTTAAATAGGTGGATGGGCGCAACAACGATTGAATTTGAAAAAATGAAGTGAACAAAAAAATACACGTTCCACATAATTTGTCTCTATTTTCTATTTTCGTCCGTCCCACATAATTTGTCCTTTCTATTTTTTAGAAATATAATTATACACTTTAATTATCTTTTAAATTTTATAATTTTAATTAAACTATTTATTTATCTTAATTTTAATTTATAATTATTTTTAGTGAGAAAATTAATTTTGGTCCCAATATATCCAAAATTTATCAATTTTAATTCTAATATAAACAATTTCAATCAAGTTTGGTCTCATTATAAATAATTTCAATCAATTTTGATCCCACTATTAAAAAAATAACAAAAATTGCTGACGTGGACATAATAACAGAGGTGATATGGCAGTTGACCAAAATTAATTTTTTCCTTTGTATCTACAGCAATAAGTCCAAAATATCTGGAACAAAAGGAGTATAAACTAAAACTTTGAAATTGAATTTAAAAATTTAAAAATAATAATAATAACATTTTAATTAGGAGGCCGGAACTAGTGATCATCTGCTCCTGCTAATGCCACCCCGCCTATAATAATAATAATAATAATAATATCAAAGGGGAACATTACAAAGCCCTTTAACACTCCAACTACAGTGTATTCTTATGGCCCAAAAGTCTCATATCATATTGCATCTCTAAAATCCAAATTCACATCAACAAGAAAAAGAAGCATATTCCTTGCAGCTAGATATGACATATGATGATTTTGCAGGATCTAACTGCAAATCCAAATCCAAATCCAAAAATCAAAATACCATTTTTAAAACTCGATCTGATGATATATGTAGTTTCATGGATCATAGAAACACAAACAAACAAACGAAGTCCCCAAAATGTGCATGTAACGTTACGTACCTTCAGTCACAGACCTTCTCCCAGTCGTCCACCACGTCATCGCATTCCGGTTGCGCCTTCGAACTCGACTCCGCCACCAATCTCGGAGAATCCGGCGACTTCGAAGAGCTTCCCGATTCCAGAACATTCCATCGATTCGAAGCCGCCGCAATCGGAGCGTGGCTCTCTTTCTCCTTCCGGGCACCCAGTACCTCCGACGGATTACTCGACCACTCCTCGGCATCCCACGACGACAACGACGAAAACGAACTCCCTTTCCAATCCGATTCCTGCATAACAACTTTCTTCCATGGATTATTGCTCCCTTTCGATGACGCCGCCACGGCCGAACCTCCATCTCTTGGCGACGTAACCCACGCGTTCGAGCCAGAAACAGCTCCCGCCGCCGTCGCTGCCGCCGCCGAAGCTCCGCCGGTTTGAGGAACCGTAACGGCGCCGTGATACACCGAGCCCTGATCCAATCTCCGCATCGCAGTCGCGGCTCGGGCCGGATCGCTGAAAACGGTCAGCGCGTTTTTATCGTTGAGCCAGACGAGTTCGCACTCCCCGCCGAATCTCAGAACCAAAGCACTGATATCGGCCTCTCTCGGTAAGTCGAATAGGGACACGACGAGCCTCGGGTCCATGTCGACGAGAGGATCGAACAGCGGAGGGTGCAGCATGTTGCCGGGTGTGCATGATTTGGCCCCCAAGACCCGTGCCGGGGCTTTCGACTTGTTCGTAACATGCACGACGATGAACCTCTTTGGCTCCCATCCGGCGGCGTTTACGGTCAGCTTCCACCTTTCGGCAATCAATCTCACCGCATCCCTCTTTTCCTTCGGCATCGGGCAGAATACATGAACTTTCAGGGCATTGAGTCCCGGCTTTCGCCCCCGTCCGAGAACCAGATACTTGCATCGTTCTTCGACCGATAATACCCACTTGGCGTCTCGCCGGAGAAGATCCGAAAGCACTTCCGACACTGCAGCGTTGTCGCCAAAGTGAAGCGATTCTAAGTTCGGCGGATTGACGCCGAAAGCGTCGGCGAGAACCTTCTTCCGCTCGACCTTCGCGCAGTCGTCGTCGCAAGTGAGTTTTCTCTGACCCAGAGGAATCCGCTGGTCGGTTGCGTCGACGGGTTGTAACGCCGTCGGTAGCTTCTGCGCTACCGAGGCTTCCAAAACAGTACCGTTATATCCGCCGCCGCTACCACCGGCGTCACAGGGGACCGTCGCCGTTATCCGGCCGCAGGAGCAAGTGATCGTTACCGGAAACTCGCATCGGACGTCGGGACACGGAGACGAAGGGTGGCAAAGGGCGGTACAAGTATGGCGGCAATCCCTCCTCGGAGCACCGCAAGTTTGCGAGCAGGGCGACCTTGACCCGGAAGACGACCCGGAGGAATTCGAGTCGCACGGCGGCGGATGGCACGTTCGGGAGCAGGCGTGCAATCCACACTGCCGGGTCTTCCCGCAAAGCTTGTTACACCGGATATCCTTCGACCCGCAAGGAATGTTCCGGATGACGACGTGCCCGCCCACGCACTCCTTCGCGACGGGAACCGAGCACGGCGGGCAATCCCCGAAATGGCAGCTGTGCGACGACGGGTGTCCGCAAGGCTGCGGAACCGAGCAAGGGTACTGGCACGACGGTGGCGGTGTACCGCAGGGCTGCGGCGGCGGAATCGATGTTCTACCGCATGAGCAAGACAGCTCGGTAAAAATGGTCTCCAGGCAAGGCGGGCAATGACCGCTGTGACATAGCGACGTGCACGAATGCTGTCCGCACCGCAGCTTCTTTTCACACGGCATCGAACACTGATGCGGATCCCAGTCGACAGGGAGACGATTGCTCGGATTCGAGAGAGGGCAGCACCGCTCGCTGCAGCGGTGCCGCCCGCAGGTTTTCTTCCGGCCACAAGGTTTATCGCAGGCATACTTGTCGTCCTCCGACGTCGTTTTGAAGCACTCGACGGTTCGAGAACTTGACCCGCAGCGACATTTCTGGGTGACGGGAATGTGACACGTAGGGCAAGGTCCCGAATGGCAGACATTGGGGCAGCTATGCAATCGGCAAGGAAGGATCTTCCCGCAGATCTGAGAGCACGTCGGGATCGGGTCGAGACAAGTTTGTCGCCGTTCGTTCTCGTCGCTCAATCTCGTCTTCCCGCAGCAACACGTCTCGATCTTACTCGGGAGCAATTCGCATTCCCCGCACTGACCCGGATGGCAACTCTCCCGGCAAACGTGATTACCGCAGTCAAGTTTCTTCTCGCAAGGTAAACTGCAAGAGAACACGCCGTCTTCGATCGTCACTTCCCCCTTCACAACCATGTCGCCGCAAAGAATAACTTCGGCCGTCTTCTTGCAGAAACACGAAGCGTTCACTACAACCTGGCAAGGATCGCACGGTCCTACATGGCAGGCCTTCTCGCAACTATGCCGCCCGCAATTGAGAATCTTATCGCACCTCTGTCCGCACGTGAGAACCGATTTCCGATCTGAGCATCGCGTGGTGATCACTTTCTTCCCACACGGACATTTCCGCGGCGGGGCAAACGCTTTACACGGCGGGCACGGGCCGGGATGGCACTGTAAAACACAAACATGAGGGCACATATCCTCCTTTTCGATTCCGCTACCAGGAATTTCCCGTTCCAACGGCTTCCCGCACGGCTCGCCGCAAGAATGCGGAGTCAAATACAAATCGGGAGGCGGGTCAGGTCTCTTCCCGCAAAAGCAAATGTATCGGATCTCCTTCGACGTCATAAGCTGCACGGATTGGCAGCCGGGGCATCGCCAATTGACGCCCTGATTCTTCTCCGCCATCAGATCGATCGAGCTCGGCGCTCTAGCCCATTTCTTGATGCAGCTGAGGTGAAAAATCGAATAGCAGCTGGAGCACGACCAAATCGCCGCAGTTCTTTTCACCATATCGTAACAAATCATACACTCGATTGATCCCTTCGATAGCTTGTCTTGAATTTCTTGCACGAGCTGCGGCATGTCCTTGGCCTTCAACAGATTGGTATTCTTTTCATGATTATCCTTCACCCTTTCCTTCTCCTTCTCTCTCGGTTGATTAAACAGACGTCCTCGGTTTCCTCCCGATTCGAAATGCGGCCTGTTTGGATTCGGATTCGGATTTGGATTCCCAGAAATTGGTCTAACCAAATCGGTGACAGACGCCCCGCCATTTCCGTTTCCGTTTCCAGTCGGGTTCGAACTTTCGACGCTAACAGATGGATTTGGTGGTGCGCCTAAAACAGAGCCTCTCGGAACCCACTGACGTTGACGATTGTTGTTTCGGTTGTTGTTCCTTGGTCGGTGATTATTATGGTTTTCTCGCCTGCTGCTCTGCTGCTCAGACAAGCTCATGTTCTTATCGGAAGACGACAAATGTTCGAAATTCGGATCCAAAGCCAGCCAAAAAAGGAATGTAATCTGGCACAAGTCTCCTATTACCTAAATTCCGACAAGAAATGAAATCTGCCAAATGTCGATACCTAGACAGCATCAGATCAAAATTAGCTACACGCAGCAATAGATGAACTATAACTTCCAAGTCCAGTCAAAACAATAATACATTTATCCAAAGTTCGATCAAGATACAGAAACTCACATTTGGAATCAATCAAACACGCTGAAATTCACATTAATCCGATTCGAACACCATTAATTTATCCATAATCTCTCAAAAACCGCAGAAATTCACTGTGAACAACCTAAATTAATCCATATTCTCTCAAAAACCTCAGAAATTCATGTAAATCTGATTCAAAGAACCTAAATTGATCCATACTCTCTCAAAAATCACAGAAATTCACACAAATCCGATTTGAATAACCTAAATTAATCCATATTCTCTCAAAACCCTCAGAAATTCATGTAAATCCGATTTGAACAACCTAAATTAATCCATAATCACTCAAAAACTAAGGAAATTCACATAAATCCGATTCCAATAACCTAAATTAATCCATACTCTCTCAACCACCACATAAATCCACATAGAACAACCTAGATTAATCCATACTCTCTCAAAAACCACATAAATTCACATAAATCCGATTCGAAAACCTAAATTAATCCATACTCTCAAATTCCCATAAATCCGATTCGAAACCTAATCTAATCCATTATCTCCCAACAACCACAGAAATTCATATAAATGCGATTCGAACAACCTAAATTAATCCACTCTCTCTCAAAAACCACAGAGATTCAAAAATCAAACCATGGATGCGAATGAAAATCTTCAAATCCACACAACTTCGATTCCAACCAGATTCACCATCCATTCAACCAAGTACCATCAAAAACACAAAATCAAAATATAATAACCGAATAAGAGAAGCATGGCGCAAACCTGATCCAAGAAAAACGCAGAAAATCGACAATTCCTTTCCAGTCGCACACTTGAACAACAACGGCAACAACAACACTGATTTCCTCTGATATTTCTGCGTCCAACGCGGAATCCGAAGATCCCCGAAAAGGATCCGATTTCAGTGAAACTTTTTTGCCTTTTGTCCCTATACGGAGAGACGAAATTAGGGATGGGGAGGAGTTGCAAATGGGGAAGAACAGCGGTATTTATACTGCAAATGAATGCGTGGTGCCCAAACCACTGCGTGAATTTCTATTCTCCATTCTTGAATTTACGTCAAAAATATCTTCTTCACTATTGGCGGTGTGGATAATTTGGGCTTTTAATATGGGCCGGGCCCGATAAAGAAACAGCTTATGGATAAAAGGGGCATAGGCCTATTTGATTTTTTAAAATCGATTTTAAAGAATAAATTGTTTTTAAGTCTGTAAATGCACATGTGGCAACATTTGTAATTTTATTTTTGTTTTACCTAATATTGGCCAATTTTCAAAATAAATGGTGCGTTTCTTTAGGCTGAATTGGAAAATTTTGGGTTTGGATTTGATTTTTAATTGAATCATGTGGCAATACTTGTAATATTTGTTTTCGTATATGTTTTTTAATTTATAATTATTATAAATATTAAATAAATTATTACTTACACAACCAAAAGCCTGCATGATGAAGATGTTGTTCGCTGGAAAGACGGTGGCGGATAAACGACTGCGTACAGTAAATGCACAGTAAAATTTCTCAAATCATCCACACCCAAAATGACATATATATCGTATATGATTTTTAACCAATAATTATTATCAATATTAAATAAATTATTACTTAAATATTTTAAATTAAAGAAAAATAAGGAAAAAATACAAACAAACACAATTAAAAACCTGCATGATGCAGATGTTGTCAGCTGGGGAGACGGTGGCGAGTAAACGACTGTGGACAGTAAATACATAGTAAAATTTGTTAAACCGTCGACACCCAAAATGACATATATATCTTATATGTTTTTTAACCTATAATTATTAGAAATAAATAAATTATTATTTAAATATTTTACACACAATTGTCACTATTTTTTACACTAATACAATCACAAGGGCAAAAAAGTCTTTTATCCGTACTTTTTACCCGCTTCCAATGTAATCTCAATATTTCTTAAATCTCGTATAAAAAATAACCTAGACTATAATTTTGAGACGAAAGAAGTATTTTTTATTTTAAATTATTTTGTGATACCCGAGTTTCTCACTATTCATTGGCCAATATATATTTTATATTTTAGATGTTGGTATATTACTTATATGTTAAATTGTTTATAATTTGGTATATGCGTTACCTATTTATTAATAATAAAATATTACCATAATTTATATGAGATTCTAATAGGATACAAATAGATTGAGTAAATTATTTGATATTAGTGGTGTAAGTTAAATATAAATCACTTTGAAAATTAATTAGAATAATTAAATAAAAATAAAATAAATATAATAATAATAATAATAATAATAATAATAATAATAATAATAATAAATATGAATAATAATACTAATAATAATAATAATAAATAAATAAATGTAAGGCAGTGGGGGTTGAGGATTATTAGCCCCACCTCATCCATATCAATTCAATTGCATATTCTAAGAGAGGGAAAATGCAGAGGAAAGGAAACGCGAAGAAGAAAAGAAAAAAGGGAAAAAAAAATTTACGCCGAATTCGTTAAAAGCCTAGTTCAGGTATTTTTTGTGTTCACGAATTATAGCTATTTTACTAAATAGAGGAAGTTTTGAGTAGAAATAATTATTTAGTAAATTGAGGTAATATTTGTAATTAATTGTTTTTAGATACGATACTGGAATCGGAAAAAAGGCTTTAAGAGTTAGGATTATTGACGTTTTTGGCGAATTTCAGGTAAGTAGAAACTCATTTGCAACTACAATGCATAAATATATTATTTTGTAAGTTATTTGTGTTCGTTTGATAATATGTGAATATCAGAAAGCTGTGATTAATATTATGTGATTGTGTGGTTTGAGCATGTGAACTCTATATTTGATGTTGAAGGAGTCTGTGAGCTCCAAAATTGATGTGGTTTGAACCAGTGAGTTCAATAATATCTGTATATTGTGAAATATGTTGCATTGCATTTTCATTAAACATGCATATCATGCATTGAAATGAAATAAGATGGATTTACTATGTTCGACCGCTGATTATACACCGAGGGCGGGAGAGGCGACCTGGGAAGAAGCAACTTGGGGAAACCTGGTGTAGGCCACCGTCTATTGTGACTTTGCATACAATGCTTAAACAATGCATTCGGAGGAGGCGACCTGGGAAGAAGCGACCCGGGGAAACCTTACGAGGAAACCCGGTGTAGGCTACCTGGTGTAGGCTACCGTTTGATTTGAATATATGGATATTGAGCTCTTCTGGTGTATAACAGTGTGTCTAGGGGCCCTGGAAAGTATTTCATAAATAAATTGGTGATTTCAAACGAGAACACATTCTGCATAGTGAGAATTTTGAGATAAACTTCACATCATGCATAATTTCTACTTACGGAGATTTATAAATCTCACTCAGTTTATGCATTGTAGGTAATCCTGATGATATATGACTTGTTGGACAGACTGGAGTAGCCATGGCGCTCTTACAGGCATTTTGAGTTACCGTGTACATAGATGACGACCTGCGGGCAGGACCGTGGTTTGTTTTGCTTTCGTTGTGCTATATTACGTCTGTTTTAGAAGTTGTATGGTATTGTTATAAATAGTATGTCGATTGTGTAGTTTTTGATATGGTTTGAGATCCTTTTGGTGAATATTAATAGGTTACTCTTGAGTTATGTTATGTTTTGCTGAAAACAAAAATTTATAACAGGTGAACAGATTGTTATAGATTATAGCATGTTTATCGTTTACAAATAGGTTGAATTGGCATTAGTAGTATAGTGTAAGTGGGGTCGTGTCATATTTTTTATTTCTTATTTGTTCGAAAAAATTATAATGCATCTCACACTCGTATAATATATATTTGATTGTAATATTTATTAAAAAAATTAATATATTTTATTTACTATATTGTATTTTAAATTTTATAAATTTAAAATAATTTCGTTTGATATGTAAATTATTTTATTTATAAAATATATAAATTTATTGAATCAAAATAAAAATACAAATATTAATAATTTACTTTTATATTAAAAATAATAAAATAGAATAAATTTATTATAATTATAAATATAATGAATTAATCAATAATAAATATATATATTATTTTATATTTTACATTATTTTTAATAAACAAATTAATTATAATTTTTATAATAAAATTATAGGTGTGTTTCTCCAGCCCGATCTTTGTATTATTATGCAAACAGTTTGGGAGCAACGTCTATTTTTTTTCTTTTTTTTTTGTTTTTAATAATAAATAAAAAAATTATAAAAAAATATAATTTAATAAAATATATACCATATATTTTATTTTGTAGAGAATATAATTTTTTTTATAATACAAATAAATAAAAATTTAGAAATATATCTGTAGTTATAATATAAATTTATAATAAAATTATAAAAATTAATACACATTCATATTATTATATTTATTATAATCAAATTAGTATACATCAAAACTCTTCAAACTCAACCCAAATCTAAACACAAAAGAAACACTAAATTTAAACTCACATCAAAATTCAAATAAAAACTAAATTCAAATGTAAATTTCTTCAAAACCCCCTAAAGAAACTCACTCTATATTATTTTTTAAAAAAAAATTAAAATCAATAAAAATAATATATTTATAATATTTTCACGGTTTCAATAACTAATAATAATAAATTTAAAAATTCTAAGCATAACAACATAATTGAAAATTTTGAAAATAAAATATAAATGTCTTCAATTGTCAATTGTTATTCTATATATAAATAACTAATATCAAATTGTTTTATTACCAAATATTTTAATACAAACAATTAATTGAATCAACTAATTGAATTAACTAACAACTATCAACTAATTATTTTAGCTAACAACTAACGGCTATCAATTAACTGCCAAATACACCATTTAATTTTTTTTATTTGAATATGTAATATATAAAAATTTACGTTGGCAATATAAAAAATAATATTTTCTGAACGTGAAAAATAAATGCACTTGCTAGTGCTTTTGAAAGTCTTAACATACTTATTTGATAATAATTATTTTAAATATTAAATTAAATATTTATTTATCTAAAAAAATATTATATCAACTACTTAAGGTTTGTTGTCCAATTAAAATTTTATTGATATAATTTTAAATATATATTAATATATATTCCATCATCTCATAAAAATTTCAATATTCAAATTAAAATATTTTTTAATATTATCGACAAAAAAATTTATATTTTACATAAGAAAAAATCAAACTAAAACCTTAACATTGACAATTGTTTTTTTACGAAAAATTTCAACATATTTTTCTAAAATAATTAATATATTGCACATATTTATTATTTGCATATTACATCTACAATTTTCTATAACTCACGTAAAAAAATAATTTTTCAAACAAAAACACAAAACATACACACATTTTTTTTATTATTATTATTTTTAAGTTTTTCCAAAATTTCAAGATTGAAAAAATCTGTATAGGTTTTTATTTGAATTTTGAGATGAGTTTGAAATTTGTGGTTTCTTTTGTGTTTGAATTTGGTTGGATTTTAGAGAGTTTTGATGTTAATTGATTTGATGGATAAGGAATAAAATAATATAAATATGTATTAAATTTAATTGATAAAATTTATACTGTATGATTTAACTATGAATTTATATTATACCCGACATATATAAATTTAAATTTTTATTGTATATATTTTTTTCCCTATAATTATAATAAATATTAAATTATATTTTATTTTTTAAAAAATAAAATAAAAAAGATCAAACCTACAGCTTGTTGGCCGAACGGTAGACAACCTCAAATTTAAAGTTTTTACTGTGCGAATACTCTGGAGAAACACACCCTTAATTGCAAGTATAAAATTATATATATATATATCTTAGTTTTGTTTTGCGAGATTATTAATATATATATATATATGATGTATAAAAAATTATGTAAAAAATATAAAAATAATAAATATGTTGTGTATTAATTTTTATTTTGAAAAACATATTAAAAGAATAATAAAAACAACAAAGCCATTGTTTTTTTTAGTTATTATTATTATTATTATTATTATCAATTTATTGTTTATATAATGTTTATTATTATTATTATTATTATTATTGTTTTTATATTCGCGGTCACTTTTTCAGCTTCAATTTATATTCATCTAAAAAAATTTAAAAAATTTTAATTTAATAAATTATTTTTCTGGAAAATTATATATTCAAAAAATTCAAAACTTTAAAAATTCAAGAATAAAAATAATAAAATTCACAATCTTCTTAAAAATTTAATAAGCTATCATTTTAACATACAATTTTAAAAATATAAAAAATTATATAATTTAAAAAATTCTAAACACTAATATATATATATATACCCCTTTTGTCAGCTTACAAAGTTAATATTTATTTTTTGTATATTAATTTTTAAATATTAATTATTATATTAAAATATAATACAAATAAAACGAAAATGATAAAAATACATCGATTAGTATCTTATAATACAAATATAATGACATTTGGATAAAAAAATCATGTAAATGTAAGAATATTTTTAATGTTAAGTACAATTACGCAGATAAATGTAAATTTTTTAAGTGGACAGAAGAAGTAGTAGATTATATATGATATTCTCTCCGTCCACTTCTAATGGTCACATTTACATTTTGTGTCATTTTATTTAAGATTAAAAATATTTTTATATTTATATAATATTTTCTACATATGTCATTCTATTAGTATTGTAAAAAACTAATAAAAATATATTTGTGATTTTTTTTTAATTTATACTATATTTTAATGTAATAATTAATATTTAAATATCAACATGTAAAAAATAAATAAGATTTCTTTAGGAGGATGAAACTTTAGTATTCTTTTTAAACCCCTATCTCTCTGTATTCCCCCACTCTCAACCCGATCCGCCGACCCGAAACCCGGATTCGGTACCCTGGACCCGACTCATCTAATGTGAGATACGATCTCGGCCGTCGGTGAGGGTTTCATTTTGGACCGTTGGATCCTCAGACCTTACCTGATGAGATGATATACAATACTCCATCCATTGACCGCCTCTGAACCGATTCACACATTCTCACATCGCGACTCTCTCTAAAACCGTAACCACCCCGACGCCGTTCCCGATCGATCTTCCTTGTGATTTTCCCGGCGGTTTAGACCGGCGAAGCTGGAAATTCGACTTGCGCCCACGATTCTTGGCTTGTTCCGAAGCTGGCCTTCGGTTTGCTTTCACGATTCTTGCCTTCTTTGTAGGTAGATCATGGTGTATTTGTTCGTCCGCAATGAAATTAGGCTTAGAAATGTTGATATTTCCATAGATTGTGGTTCGATTCGCGTTGTTTGTGCGCTTCCGTGGATGTCGTTTGTGGTTTGGGTCGTGGTTGAATATATGTGTTGGTTTCGGTTGATATATTGGGTAAACTGAGTTCGGTTTCGAAATATATAAAAGATTCTTTAGTTTTCTTTTAAAATTTGTTCGATTATGCTTAAATCGCAAGCTGTTGATCCTAGTTTTAGCATAGCAGAAACAAATTTCGGTATAAACTCTCTCTATGCATCTAAGTTTTCTATCGGTAAATCTCGTATGTTACAAGTAGAATTTCATAATAAGAGATCTTTCTTAATTGCTCTACATTGGCATACATATATATATATGTGTGTGTGTGTTTATCTTTGTCTTCTGATCACAGGAAAATTAAAGATTGAAATCCGAAACAGCTATGATCGGGGTTCATGTTATTGTTGTGGACATGGATAAGACTGCCTTGTATAAACTGGCTCACATCCTTCTCAACCATAGCTATACAGGTGAGATTACTTGATTATTTATAATGTATTAAGAAATAGTAGTAGTATTTTATTGGTTAATATAGTCGTATGAGATAAATTTTGATATTTTGCCTCTACTTGTAAATATAAAAGATATAGATTTTTTGTTTTGAAATAGTTACCCTCGAGCGAGACAGTCTAAAATAGTTAAAATGGTATATTGAGTTAGGCGGGAGGGAGTATTAATTTTTGGATAAAAAATAAACATATCCCGGATCTTTTTGCGAATAATTGTTGAATTTGATGTTTTATGTATTTGTCGTTGTTCAGTGTCTGTGCGCACTTCGATGCAAGATGTAGAGAAATTGCTTCAGCTTGAACAAGGATTCGAATTATTCGACTTGGTAATATGCAATGCAGACCTTCCTGGTCTCGACATTACGAAGTTTCTTGCCGACGTGGCAGTTGAGAGGGAAATTCCCGTAATAAGTACGTAGACTCGACTTGACCGTCTGACTTCTTCATATATATATATATAGATGTATGTATGTATCTATCCATATGTTATTTCAATTGACATAATCAAGCACTTACTAAATTTCCATCCTAACAATATGTAACTCGATCGATCTACACAGTGATGTCCGTTGATGGTGAAGACAGCAAAGTGATGGAAATGATCGAGGGTAATTGTGCAGCTTACTACCCCAAGCCAATCGAGGAGAAAGACGCGAAATACTTGTGGCAGTATGTGGTTAGAAAACGAAAGGTGACCAAGCAGCATTTAACATCAATGGCGGCAGCAGCAGCATAAAAAAGTAATTCTAATTAGTTGGTTAATATTTTAATACTAATATATATTTTGCTAATTACGGAACTGCTTCGTCTTTTTCACCATAACTCGATTCCCACCCTCCGCCATGGACTACGCTTTCGGATTCTCCCTTCCGCCGCCGTGATAGAAAGAAGAACACTCAGGCAAAAAAAGGTTTGATTTTCTTATCTTGTTTCGTTTTGTGTATTTTTCCCTTGCAGATTAGAATTTTTGAAATGATGCTAACAATTATTTTGGCGGTAGTGGTGCGGAGGAGGCCAAATTTAGAATTTGTTGGACGGCATTGAAGGACAACTCATTGAGATGTATGGTTTAGGGTCTTCTGTTCGATCCCGATCTCTGTTCAACCGTGCAATCAGATACTGCAGTAGTTCACTGTACATCTAGATTGTTCTACTTGACTACCACTTCACATCTGTTTCTTGGGAGATTTTTTGTATACTCAGGAAAATTGATGCGAATTTTGAACTTTTGCTAATTCATTTTGTCTTCTTGCTCTCTGTTTCATTGATGTCTATAGAAAATCGATTTGGATTTCGGGTTACAGAAATCTGGGTTCTGTTGTGAAATTGTACCCGCTCCGGTTCGGCTTCGGGTGACCCGGATCTCCGATTTCTTCCTCCGCTTGCTTGACCTTGAAGAAGAATAAGAAGATGAATCATGCCCTAATCCCCCGTCGCCGTCGCCGCCTCTATTCTTCTTCTTCTTCTTCCGCCGCCTCAGCTTCGTAAAGAACTCCTCCGACCCTATCTGGACCGTTACAAGATACCCATCCTCGAACTTTCCGTCGATCACTCCACACACCGGAAGAGTTGACGATGATGATGATAATGAGGTGTTTGGCGGGAATTGTTTGATGGCGGGAGAGGCAGGGGAGGAGGGAGTCCAGGACTTGGCCTTTAAGAAATAAATCTGCTCATAGTTGTAGAGGAGAGAGATGTACTACTTTTGGAGAGAGTATCTATATATGTATATTCCCTCACTCTTGTTAAGGTATTCATATACCAAAATAAAAAATTGTAGTATAATTAAATATTTTTAATATAAATTTTTTTTGATAAATAGTAGAATTTTAGACAAAATGGATATATTTTAATTATGTTAGAAAAAAAAATTATATCAATTATTCTAAATTCAAAATATAACAAAAAATAAAATAAAATTTTAGACCAAAACAGAAAGGTATACAAGGCGATGTAGAATTATACGGGACCGTGTAATAATATGGGCGTGTATAATTATACACTGAAATATATATGGTCCTGTCACGTCAACTTTGTTACGTCCATGTCAACAATTTCTGTCCATGTTAACAATTTCTGTTAATTTTTTAAGTGAGACCAAAATTGATTGAAATTGTTTATAATTGGATTAAAATTAATGAATTTTTATATTGGGACCAAAATTAATTTTTCCAAATTTTAAATTTTATAATAATAAATTTTTAATCTTAATTAAATTAATTGGTTATTTTAATCATAATTTATAATTATTTATATCATTGTTAAGCACAAAAAATAATAATAATAAATAATGGCAGTGGGATTTTGGACGGGTCTGGATATAAGTTAAATGACCCAGAAGTCGGGTGCAATCGGACAGATGCAAGGATCGGGAAGGAAGAAAGGTCGGGCGGAGTCTGAAAAAGGTGTACCCAAGTCGGGTAAACCGTAGATCGGGTGAAAGACGAAGTCGGGCAGACGCGAAGGTTTGTCAAGAGAAAGGTCGGGCAAGGAAGAGGTACGGACAGATACGGAGGTCTGTCCAGAGGACAGTCTGTCCTTCTAAAGAGATAAGGCAAATAGAGCCGGTCGGTTGGTCCATGGTCGGGACCACATTTGGTTGGTCCATGGTCGGACCAATTAAAGTCGGTCAAAGACGGAGGGCGGCTGATGCGGAGGTCGGCCCAAATGATGTCGGGCGAAGAAGCAGGTCGGGCGAATGGCATTTCTGGGACGGTTTAAGGCGTGAGAGGTTTGGGGAGGTTGAAGGAAGTTGTAACACCTGTCAATTGAGGAGAATTTGATGGTCGGTTGACAGCGGTTGCTGTAACCGACCAAACGGCGGTTCAAACCGTTTTCTTCAAAGGCTATTTAAGGATTCAGATTTATTATGAAAAGGCATCTTCAATCAACTTCAACAAAACAAAGTCAGATTTGGGGATCACCACTTTAAATTTCAGTCTTTTATTTTCCAGTTTATTTTCTGTACCATACAGTGTTTAGAGATTCCTAATCTCAGGCACTAATTAATCAAGTTTAAGGATATTTTCTATATCTTTGAATTTTACTTTATTTTTGTTGAAAAATTACATCAACAAATTGGCGACCACAGTGGGAGCAAGACAAAATTGCTCATTCCAATTCCGGCGATAATTTCATACGTCTAAGATCCGGCCGTATCATCGGAAGGGTCCATATGGCAGGTTCACAACCTCAATCATCTTCGGCACCGGTGGGAGAATCCGTTCCACCACCTATTGTGCCAAATGCCGGGGAAATCCCACAACCACCAACTGATTGGTGGTCTTATGTTCAACAAATGAACAACCAGCACACTTTGGTTATGCAGAACATGTTGCGTGAGCAACAAACGAACATGTTGCGTGAACAACAAAATCTAATGCAAAACATGTTGGATCAGGCATTCTCCAGATTCACCCTGTATCCAAACATGCTTCCAGCCGTGTCACCTTCTCGTTTTCAGGCGACTTTCTCAGGATCAACGTTTGCAGAACCATCATATGTTGATAGTACATTTCCAAGCGTCACAACTTTCAACCGAACAGATATGGGGAAGATTCCTCTAACTTTCCCAGATAATGTTCCTTTGGGACCGAGGGTTGATAATACCCAGCCGAACGAGAGATTAGGAGGACAGACTCATAATCCCATTCCAACCGAACCAGCCTTCTTTAGAGAAGAAAGGTTGGAGGGACAGACTCATAATCCCATCCCAGCCGAACCAGCCTTCTCCAGAGAAGAAAGATTGGGAGGTCAGACTCACGATCACATTCCAGTGTTCGACCATATTCCACCCAGAGTAGATCCGGAGGATATTGCTCAAGTTCTGCGGGTGCATTTCGGAATGAATCCGCAAACGGTGAACAGGCCGGTTTATCAGAGGCCATTTCCAGAAAGGATCATTAACGATCATCCTCTCCCGAGAAATTATAGGCCACCAGACTTCTATTCTTTTTCGGGAGAAGACGGAGCCTCTACCATTGAGCATGTGGGTCGCTTCACGGCTCAATTGGGAGAAGTAGGCAACAATCCGTTTCACAAGTTACAATTGTTTGGGTTGTCGCTCACAAGAACAGCTTTTTCTTGGTATGCCAGTCTGCCGCCTGGACAGTTGCAAACTTGGGAAGATTTAGAGGCAGATTTTCATGCAAGGTTCTTTAATCCTCTGCCGACAGTCTCACTGATAGACCTTCTGGAGATCACGCAGATGCCGGAAGAGACCGGCTACCAATTCATAGAGAGGATGCGATTGATGAAGGGACGATGTCCTACGATGATCAATGAAAGCGAAATGACCAATTTGGTGGTCAGGAACATGCATACCAGACTTCGCGAGGCCCTGACAGCCCACGACTTTCAAGATCTGGCCAGTTTAGCATCCACGGCAAGAAGGTTAGAATCCTTTTTTACAGAAAATAATCATGACTTCCGTCAGGGGGGAGATGCTGAAGAGATGGTAGTGCAAGATCGATCAATGTGCAGACCACCACCAGTCCGCAATAAATGGAGGTCGGGTCCAACGTAGCCTCAGAAGATGGAGGTAGGATCTGAGGCTGATGTAGCCTCAGATGCTGACCTGCAAACTCCTAAAACATCACTGAAAGTGATGTTTAGGAGTCTTGAGGAGGAGGCTTATTGTTAAGCACAAAAAATAATAATAATAAATAATGGCAGTGGGATTCTGGACGGGTCTGGATATAAGTTAAATGACCCAGAAGTCGGGTGCAATCGGACAGATGCAAGGATCGGGAAGGAAGAAAGGTCGGGCGGAGTCTGAAAAAGGTGTACCTAAGTCGGGTAAACCGTAGATCGGGTGAAAGACGAAGTCGGGCAGACGCGAAGGTTTGTCAAGAGAAAGGTCGGGCAAGGAAGAGGTACGGACAGATACGGAGGTCTGTCCAGAGGACAGTCTGTCCTTCTAAAGAGATAAGGCAAATAGAGCCGGTCGGTTGGTCCATGGTCGGGACCACATTTGGTTGGTCCATGGTCGGACCAATTAAAGTCGGTCAAAGACGGAGGGCGGCTGATGCGGAGGTCGGCCCAAATGATGTCGGGCGAAGAAGCAGGTCGGGCGAATGGCATTTCTGGGACGGTTTAAGGCGTGAGAGGTTTGGGGAGGTTGAAGGAAGTTGTAACACGTGTCAATTGAGGAGAATTTGATGGTCGGTTGACAGCGGTTGCTGTAACCGACCAAACGGCGGTTCAAACCGTTTTCTTCAAAGACTATTTAAGGATTCAGATTTATTCTGAAAAGGCATCTTCAATCAACTTCAACAAAACAAAGTCAGATTTGGGGATCACCACTTTAAATTTCAGTCTTTTATTTTCCAGTTTATTTTCTGTACCATACAGTGTTTTGAGATTCCTAATCTCAGGCACTAATTAATCAAGTTTAAGGATATTTTCTATATCTTTGAATTTTACTTTATTTTTGTTGAAAAATTACATCAACAATCATATAGTAATTATTTTGAATACTAGCAATTCATTAATTTTTTTCATTAAAATATTAAATTAAACATCTTTGTTCTTCCAACAATTTTTTTCAACAAGATTCTCGATATATATTTATTTATCTTATCACAAAAATTAATATTCAACATAAAATATTATTTTTTATATTAATGACACAATTTTTTATATTTTACATAAAAAAAAAAAAATTAAATTAAATCAAAACACTAAACAAACAATTTTATAAATAGTAAAATAATGAAATATATAGAATATACCAAAATCTTCGGTCTACATAATATTTTTTTACAACATCGGTACATATTTTCTGTAACATATTAGTTTTTCATGCTTTCTGTACTATGTATACTAGTAATATTCATATTAAATAATTGAATTATTAAATATACATTTAGAATATATATCATATTTAATTATTTATAGCATATATTTCATTTAACAAAATTAATACTTCATTCGTTCCAGCTAAATTGTTTCATTTAGGGGAATTTTAGATATTATGTAATTAATAAATAATTAAGAAGTGTATTATTAAAAATAATTATGATTTAATAAAAATAATTGTAGATTAAGATTAACACGATTAAATACTTTAATTATGAATTTTATAATGTGATTAAAGTGGATAATTATATTTAAAAAAAATAAATTATATGATACATACAAAAATAGAAACATGAGATAATTAAGTGGACCCGAGGGGAGTAGATTATTATAAATATGTATGATTAGAAATTATTTTTCAGTTTATTAAATAATTTGATTATTAAAATTGTTAAGATATATTTAAAATACATATCAGTTTGTTCACATAGCATTTTTCAATAGAATAACTTCCTATAAATATTATTTTAAAAGTACAAATATACACGCATTAATATAATATATATTATGCATTCATAAAAAATCAACAATTCAAATACAAAATATTATTTTTTATATTATCAACACACTTCTCCATACCGCACAAATAACTGTACAATATTATAAATATGTACATATAATTTTCTTTTGTTTTATTAAATAATTTAATTATTAAAATTCTTAAGATAAATTTAGAATATATATTTTTATTTAAGAAATTTGTAGACAAAACTAAAAAATTTTCTTTAACATCTTTCAACATTAGGGTGGGAGAAGCCTCTTCAAAGCACATTCCATCTTTCAACATCAGGGTGGGAGAAATCTCTTCAAAGCACATTCCACCTTCAAACATCTTACTTCAGCATTAAAAATAATATGTAAAAAAGTTATGCAAAATAATAGAAGAAAACAAAATTTTGTAAACAAAGAAAAGAGAAAATATAACAATAAAAGTTATCAAAATTTTGGGCAAAACATGTAAAAGATATAACGACATGAGTTTTAAAGCAAATGAGTATATACCCACTAATAAATAAAATTTACCTCACTAATAGATAAAATTTACCCCATTAACATATAAAGTAATGAAAAAAACTGTAAAAAAAAAAAACTATAATAGTAAATTATAATATTATCTATTATATAATTAATAATATTGATAGTTTTAAAATAAATTTAATATATATAATTAAAATAATTAGAATATATATTTAAATATTTTTAAAATTATATAGTAATAAAAAAATATACGAAATAAAGTAAATAAAAAAATATATATATTTATTTATAATTAATATAAATTAATTTTATAAAATATATGAAATTTTAAATATCAATTTTACCTAAAATAATAATATTAATTGTTACCAGATAAAAAAAAATATCGACCAAGAAAGTACTATTTTTTTTTTCAATAAAAGATTGCATTAAATCATTATTTAAATGAAATATCAAATTACGGATTAATTAAGTAAATAAACAAGTTAGATTGAAGTTCAAGTATACCTAACTCTACTGATAATTCACCAACAAGTATGCAAATCTTGGAATTATTACGAACATTTAGCAATCCACTTTTGTCAAAATTTCATAGCAATAAAATACTAAAGATAAAGGATGATTTCTCCAAATTAATATGCTGAATAACATTTTTGGGACAATACAAAACTTTCTAATTTGGGATTGTTTTGTGTTGGTGTCTTGTCTTATTCAATCCATTCTACTCTGAATCTGCTTGTGTATGTGTATGAGGTACTCGACGTATGAGAGCCCGCCCGGCGTCTTGTCTTCCACCATGTGGGAGAAGAACATTGTCCCTACAACACCAAAAAAGACGATCTAAGTCAGGACAACCACAAGAAAAAAGAAGATAATTTGCCAATAAAATGAATCTGAGTGTAAATATGATCGGAGAACAAAATATCATTAGATTTTATTTTCATTATGTTAGTTACACTTCCCGCAATTGCGCAAATAATTACAAGGGAATTTTCGAAATTCCAATAGAGATACTATTGGCTTATGTATCCACATTTGATTTTTCACTATGCAACTTATGGTAAAAATTTTTTCTTTCCTAAAAACAAAGACAGTCAGTGTCTATTTCTTTGTCAAAAACCTATTTTCAATTCAAAATATTGCGTACAGTTTATTTTCCATTCAAAATATCAATTCAAAACTTATTTAATTATATTTTCAAGTTTTCTTGACATTATTCATCAATAATTTCATTATCATTATATATATATATATATATCAATCAATTAAGTATTTTTCCTTAAAAAAAATAATTCTCAATTCCAAACATCATATCCTAATACCTATTTATATTACATTAAATACTTATCATCTCTTCAAGATTTTATTATTCTCAAACCAACATAAAATTACAAAATACTTCCAAAACAAACATATCTAAACACACCCTTAATGACTTTAGAATGAAGTGACTTGATCAATTATCACCACAGCCAATTATGGTTTCACATAATTCATTTATTTCTTCGAACCTATGTTAGTTTTTCTTCTAGGTGTTCTCAAATGTCGGTGAATGATGAAGAGGCTTATGGGGATGGTGTTGTAGAATCAAGAAAATTAAGGCGTATATAGGAAAATAGTTTCTCGTAGACTAACCTGATACATCTCCCTTCTTGCAAAGTTTCATTCTGCAAATGAGAAAATATTTCATGGATCAGAATAGCTCAACTGAATCTTTTGAACAAAAATAGGCAACGGCCATTGATGTTACCGCAGGTAGGATGAGCGCTGTCGCCTTATTTCATTGAGAATGGCATTTAGCTTCTTCGACAATGGATTGTCATATTGCTGAACAATAAACTGAGAAACAGGCAAAAAAATATTTTGATTAGGTTTGTATAGACGTAGAAGGCCAATTGCAGCAAATGAAGAATTTACAAAAGAAAAATAGGATTCATTAGCAAGGTATATTGTCATACTGCATTGCAACATTTGGATCAAATTTTGGGATATTTAAAGGGGGCTCTAGGGCACAATACTACATAAAAATCGTGGACATGATCATGTTAATTATTTTTTTCAAATGCAAAATGAGGATTTTCAAGGAAACATGAAACGAAGTATAGTTTTTTGATTAAGAGCAGAGTTTGATAACAAGACTACTATACTATACATATAGCTAACATATTATGAACCAATGGAGCATATCAAGATGGATTGCCATTTAATTCAAGAAAAATACAAGAAGCAGTGATAGTTGAAGATAAACTAGGAAACAGTCAAAGGCAGTGCATGGAAATCACATACACTATCTATGTAAGAAGCTTGACACGATCAACATCATATATGCACCTGCTTGACAGATTGTGAAATATATATATATACATACACATACATACATATATATATATAGTGATTTGGATAGAATTTTAGAGTAGATTCATGTATATATGGAAGGTTATCTCCTACTACAAAATGAATTTACTATTGGCTGTATATAAATGTGTGTATATGAATGGGAAAAAAATGACCAAAAGTCACAGATCTTAACTGAGCATCTAATCAAGAACATGTGGAAGAAGAATACCTGGATAGGGATTTCTTCAATGGCCGAAACGCCAAACAACTGCTGCAAGACATTTTTATCAACAGAGCTACCGGCATAAATCAAACAGTCATCTCCATTCTCAAGGAGATATATTCCCTCATCAGAAACATGCTCACTGGACAGTGGAATAGGGCTTGGAATAATAGGATCATCTGACACCTGATATTTCATGAAAAAAAATAAAAATAAAAAGGAGGCTTGTAAATTATATACAGCACTGATTCTATATGTAACATGTTGGGACACAATAAGTACCTTTTCATTGAGGTCATGAATCGATATCATCCTAGGGTACACCAATGGGATTATGAAAGGAATAGGTAGAGGGCTAACATAATTTATCCAAAATGCCCGGTCATCAATTCGTCCATCCAGACGCAATCCATTGCATTTGAGTAAAGCTGAAAGTAGTAGAGTAGAAAAATATAAAATAAACAGTCACGAAACATAAATGAGCACGATTAAAATTCAGAAACAAGAATGTGCATTAATGCCCCTGTTTACACATTCCATGAAGATGCATAGGAAACTAACTAATCAGCAGAAGCATTAAGGATTTTGTTCTTTACAAAATCATCACCAATATAAATAATTTCTAAAATGGAGGATATCGTTTCAGGTGGCATTCACAAAAAGGAAAATGTAACGCTGCAACATATGTTAAATGGAAGAAGATGCAGTGATTCCACAACAAATAAATTTTTTTGACACAAATGGTTTTAGGTGAGATGACTGGTACCGAGGGTGTATAGAGGCAACAGTTTCAGTGCTTCTGGCAGAATAAGTTGCCCGGAAGAGGTAGCAGCCGTTGCGCAGAACTTGCGGTAGGAATATAAGATGCTAATGCAAACATTTGTGGCTTGTTCCCTGACTTGAGCGAGGGGTGCCAAAGGAATTTCAATGGCCGCTGTGACATGTGAAAAATGCAGTAATTAGCTTAAATCGAACTGGAAAACAGACAAAGAGCAGGGAAAAGAAAGTGGGTAGAAGTGTCACTTTGCTTCAGGATACAAGCAAATTGTGTGTCTAAATCAGCAGATCGGAACAGATTGCTTAGCATGTTGGTGCTGGGCAGAGATAATGTTGATACTCGGATTCTTCTTTGGCCATATACAGTGGTGTAAAGAAGGGCACACTAGACAACATAAACATAATAAAGCTGATCAGATGACCAACATATTCTCCTACATAGAGAAAGGATGATCAGAAAGAATATTGCTCTCCCGAGTAATTTATAGACATGTTTTCTATGAATCAAGGCCAAATTTTTATGAAATGTAAGATATACGCTCATACCTGAAAAGAGCATTCTGACCCTTCTCGCAATTTATCATCATGCTTCAGGGACACCATCAATGTTTTGTCACAGTCAATCTTGAAAACAAACAAACCATTTAGGTGAAAAGCTCGTGCCAGAAATATATTTTTTATAATTAGATGCTAATAGGAAAATTGTGTAATAGCTTCAGATTGAAACATACTGCGGGCAGATCCACATCAGTTGGGATGCGCCTACAGAAGTTTCCATAATATTCCTGGACTTGAATGCCCTAATCAGAAAATACAAACTATTTTAATTTCTCATAAAAGACTACTTCTGACTTGTAAACAATAACAGTATACGTATCCAATCTATTATAAACTCACCTGGCTACATCTAACTCGCATAACTGCTTCAAAGCCTTGTGGCCTTGTGACATTCCACCGCAGGTCATTGTAAAGTTTGGCAGGATCGGAAAGTGCTGAAAAAGGGTAGTAATAGTACACCTGTAGAGAGGAAAACCATTAATATTTGCAGCTCATGATTAGGCATCTGACTGAGGGAAACAACATAAATGAATTGGAAGTACCAAATTCATATTAGGTTGCATAAGATGTGATAACCAAATATCGAATAACCAGTCATGAAAATCATATGTATGAGAATTCAAATACTTATTAATGTACCTGGCCTCCAGTCATTCTTGGAACAACAGAAAGAGAAGCCACATCTACATATGTTTGAGTTGTCAGAAACAAATCAACACAGACCTGAAAAGGTGCAGAAATCAATGACACGCGACCACAGATATCAAAAATAAAAACAGAGATTTAGATTCTGCAAAACTCATGGATTGTTGAATGAAATGAATGTCACCTGATACTCAGCAAATTCAATGGCCATGGCTTTGAGTGTCTTATCCACTGGTTGGAGTAATTTGTGAGCTTCCTGAAGTCCAAGGATGGAATTAGAACAAGTAATAATATCTTGGATATTGAAGTAATGGAAGTTCAATGCGTTGTCACATTCACATAAGGGAAATTTCGCATGACTTAAAAAAGGGAAAATCAGTATAACACAAGAGATACAAACATAATAAAATGAAATAAGAAGGATTTGTACCTTTTCCCCAGCTGATATGCTACTTCTGCCCTCAGCATCTCTAGCAGAAAGGGATCCAATACCAATAGATGGCAACACTGTTGCATTAGATTCCAAAATTCGTCAACACATGAAGTGAAAGATTGTACGGCATGTTCCTTCCAAAAGAGATTTATTTTGTAGGTTGATAAAAGGGAAAGTTACAGAAAACAAAAAATATTTTGAAATATATCCGAAAGCAACACCAATGTTGAATGATAATGTTCAACTAAATATCTTTAGCATCCTGCTATGCTGCTTCCTTCCTAATCAATTCCTTTCCAATACCCACGAACATCCACTGATCACCACCAAACAAAAAGCACCCCTGATCCTAGTGTTTCTAGATTCAGCTATTTCAACCATCTATAATGTATCAGTTCTCCTTCAACCTCAAATATAAGGCCAACATTAGATTTCAAAAGCTTTCCATCTATATCAGGCGTTGAATGAATCGAAGGTACCAATTAAAGAAAAATTCCAATATTACATATACATATCTATACAACTTTTAGCTTTAAACAGAAGATGTATAATGCAAGCAATAGAACAAGTGAAGTATGGCGCTTGTGAGAATACACGTATACAATTTTTTTATAACAACAACAACAAAAAGACTTGTTTGTTTACCTGATTGAAAAACAAGAAGTTTGCCACCAGTACTTTTCATTGCTAGGAAAGAAGCCTAAGGTAAGAAGGAAGAAAGAAGTACAGACAGAAATTATGGGAAACTTTGAATTGGTTCATAACATAAGTAAGATTATAAAAAGATGTTGAACACATTAATTGCCATTGGCTCTCTGACAACTACTGGCTCAAAAATCATCATGAACGATTTTTATGAGAAATGTGTGATTTTGAAGTTCAATCATTTGCCTAGACCTATACATAATTGTCGATGCAATGGCAGAACAACCTACCATGAGCTGAAGTGCATGGTATAATGTGCACCATATAAATCTCAGCACAACATAAACTATTTATATTATTGAATGAATTTTTTGAAAATATAATTAGCACAAATTATACTTAGTATAAATCATAATCCATTAACAGAAACTACCACACATGGACATAAAAATAGAGATTAAAGATGAAGAAAATTTATACTAGAAAAGAAAAGAAAATAGAAGTTAAACAAGATAACACAGGTTAATGATACTCAAAAATTGGTAGTAAGAATGAGATTATAGGGTAGACTAGTGTCATCCGCCGTGGAGGACTATGGATCTGCTTTCCAAAAACAATTCCTGAGGTCAATTCCTTTGGGGGTAAAGATATTGCTTTGAATATTTTTTGGTGTCAGATAATGACATTTCACTAATTGCACATCTCAATGGGATTTCAATGTAATCTGCAATAGTTTAGTTGCACTTTGTGAAAAAGGCCGGAAATTTGGGTTTAAAGTTGACTATATTTTCTTGGCATATAACGATAATTTAATGGAATCAATTAATAATATATAAAAATATTATATGTAAAGAATTAATTTGTGTGCTTTTGGAGGTAAAAAAATTCCTCTTAAAATATATCAAATCATGGTTATGATTACGGATAAATACCATATGCTTCTTCTATGATGTGCTGAATCTCAGTAATTGAATTGTTAGACATGTTGCAAAAATATGAATAGGCACAGAAGCTCATGATCTCTTACCTTTATAGCAGCACCAAAAGCTGAATCACCAATTCTATTATTCTGAAACATTGTAGGAATGTTTTCCAGCAGCATCTCTAAATGCTCACGGCACTGCAGGTTTACAAGGTAACCTCCTATTAAATGTAGAACTTTTAGCACAAGTATTAATATACTCACACAGGTTACTTAATCTTCCATGAAAAAAACGAGTTGTGATAGTTTAAAAGAAGATAACAACGAATGAAAAAGAAATACTTGGTGATACGGAATCCACTACTAAATCAAATTGGAAAAATGTAAAAAGACAACTGCAAAAAAAACAAAAGGTTTAATGTCCCAACCTCAGCAAGTTGAACAATAACATCACTTTCAAGTGGAGTATAGACATCTTGTACATCAGGAACTATAAGCATCAATGGCTGCCAGGAGAGAAAAGAATAGTAGAGTTAGCCAAAACTTACTATTACTAGAGACAGAAGCCATACGAGGATTGCAGTTATTATCGAAATTAGAATTCAGGGCCCTTTCATACCAGAATGCGTCAAAAAAAATAAAAAATAAAAAATCACACATGAATAAAAAGGGTGATCATTATTCAACAATGGACATAACAAAAGGAAATACATTTCCTAAGGACAAGATAATAAGTTTCAGTCAGTGTTAAGATGGCTAACAACTCTATGCCAACCTGTTGCAAAGCCCGTTTTAAGTTGTAGAAGTGGATGGTAGAGTCAAATGTAGCTATTCCAACCATTGTTCGAGGACCCCCCTGCAGGAAAAAGAAAAGAAAAACCATATTTTTCATATTAAACTCTATTTTCCGGAAAAAACCTTAAACCCCTATTCTTTCCTCTCTTCTTTGAATGAAAATAGTGCTTCTCTTGCAGAAAAGCTTCTTAAGTAGTTGACAAAATCAAAAGGTATGATCTCTAGAAAATAACCAATTGTTCACAGCAGCAAATGTAAAACAAACTTGAAATTTGATAACAATAGGTGATAAAAAATATTGCAAACCATGTAATTGATTTGAAGAGACACTACTAAAGAATTGCCCAAAAATAAATAAATAAAGAACAACATCAGGAACACTTCCACAAGGATTACCATGATGCTCTAAGTCCAGATATACAACTATAGATTTCAAAAGTTCAAGTAATATCTGATGTTTGGGTCAACTTAAAGGAATAAGTAAAGCAAGAATTAAACGAACCAAGTGTTGGGTGAATTCACATATAAATGTTACTGCATGGAGCTGCAAGGAATAAACTTACAGGAAGATCAGATATAACTTGGCTAATTGCACTGCATGCTGCTGCAGTAGCACCAGTTTGTATGGCATGCATTGAGACATCAACAAGGAAGAAATACACAGCAGGCATTGGATCTCGCACCTGAAAAAGTATAGGACAAGATTGCAAAAATTATATAATCAAGAATAATAAAATATTGAATCTCTTTCTATTTTCTATTTTTTTTCCTCTAAATTTAAAATGTAGTATTAGAGAAAATGTTTTGTGAAAAACCATATGAAAACCAGGTGACAGAAGATTCATGAATAAAGAGCTGTATATAATTGATATCTATACTGAAACTAAAAGTTGCAGAAGATATCAACAACTGTCAAGTACAAGAAATGCACAAGGAGAGTTATTCTAACAACTTTCTATTACCAACTTCAACCGAAAATTAAATACTTCATATATAGTATATCTGATTTTGGGGGCTCAGAACCAAATTTAGGAGGAACTTCTAGCATATCTATTTAAGAGGTGAAATTGTCATATCTACACATATGTGTGTTAGTGATTAAGTAGCATTACTCATCACAAAACTTTACATATCTTTCTCTATTCACCCATCCTAATTACACCTATACTGAAGCTAGAAGTAGATATTATCATGAATGATCTAGAACTAATTTTCAGCACTTAATACAAGGATAAGAAACTCAATATCATCTACTCTGAACTAGTATGATAACTCCTCCTTCCCTCATTATCAAGGATCATATAAAAGGTGTCCTTGTAGATACTTACTGATTACAGTATTTTAAAGCATTTCCTAGTAAACATGAACTATCTTCCATATCAAATGTTGAACCAAATGAAAATCTAGGTATTACTTGATACAAACCATATATTCCTTTGTAGCAATGAATTCAACAGTTCCCCTGCATAGTTCAGGCCTCTCTTCAGCATCTCTACGGCGACCATCTGGACCTAAGTTGCACCTATAGTCTTGTGGAGTTTCATCAATAAATCCTGAAAATAGAGAGTACAATTTGGAGTAAGACAACTAAAAATAGAGTATGCATTCCTGAAGGCATGAGAAATTACAATCACCGCAGCAAATGCAATCAAATTAAATAAATGGATCATACAGAATCGATTATTGCAGCTTGAGACTCTGTCTGAAATGACAGTGCTATGTAACCTTAACGAACATATAGTCCATCAATTGGATAGTAATTGCAATATAGATCCCTTTCTTATTACATGGACAATATAATAACCTAATTCACAAACAGACAAAGAAAGTGTTGCTCTTACCACATAAGTTACAAATGAAGCGTCTCCCTTGATCAATAAACTTCATGAAAGGATTAATGTAGCCTTTGCAACGAGAACATCGAACTGGACCATGTTCCCCAAAATCAACAACCTAACAAGCATATTAGCGATCAATTTCACATTAAAATTTCAATGTTTTATGATATGGGGCTAAACAGAAGTCAAATGTTCATGGCATATGCATACACGAATGATCTCACCAACTGAAATCATATAACAAATGCTAAATCCACTATATTAGATGAATGAAAATTCTCAAACAAATCAACTCCAAATTTCCCATCCTCTAGACTGAATGCTCCTACATTTCTTTACTTTTTTCATCATTATTAATATTATTTGAATGAAGACAATCAAGAACAATATTCCAGTTATAAAGTGATATTTTTTTAATAATACTCATCCCCGAACAAGTTTATGTCGCTTGGGTACTCTGATTATTAACTGCTACTTTTGACCATAGCATTGCCAATGATAATTTTAACTTTGTATGTTGTCCTTCGGTACAAACCATTGTTAAATCAGAATATGTATATATATATATATATATGAAAATGAGTAGAGGGAGTTTGCTATCCAGTGGTTGTTATATTAAAGTCAAAAGGGCCACATGGACAACTTGTTAAATTCAACCCTCAAGCTAGATAAGAATGATCAATATAGATTGTGTGGATTAAATGAAAACTTAATATAAGTATAGAAGCACCAATTTGATATGATCCATCCATTTTGCAGCATGCATGCTTCTTTCAGAAATATTTCTAATTTCATTACAAAACATTTGCATCAACAATTTTACAAATTAATTAAGGCAATTCATTTTACCAAGCTATAGAGCTGAGATGAGATTTTTTTTTTTCAAAAAAATGTACTCTGCACTTAAGCCATCACCACCCCCATCAAATTAGATTTTTGTTAATGCAAAAAGAAAAGGACAGCTTGTAGTTCAGAAGATGAGTAAAATTGATTTAAGAACCGCCCACAAATTCCAAAGTCATCACTTAAAATTCAAACTAAAAGTTGCAATATATGAATCTGTGAACCATAATATGGCAACAGTAAAACCGCTAAACATAACAGCCAGTGACGAAATTAGCATATAAATCTTAGGGGGGCAAAATGTTATAATTTATTTAATATTTAGCTAATAAATTTAAATAAATAATAATGACAGAATTATATATGAATTTAGATAGTTTTGAGGGGCAAATTGTATATAAATACATAAAAATTAATATTTTTAATACTAAAAAAATCATAAAAAAATTGGATTGGGGGTCAATTGACCCACCAAGCTTTAGTGTAGTTCCATCCCTGATAACAGCCATATATTACCAGTCTTCTTACTGTGTGTTTTGACTTTATCAAAGAACAAATCTTAAGTGAATGAAAATGTTCAACTGATAATATATAAACTTTTCACTGATATCATAATAAAATATAAATATTGTCACGTTATATCCTAGAAAATAGAAAGAATCCTTTAGTTTACTTGGATAGGTTCCTCGGATGGATGGGGAAGAGCTAAAGGCTGGACCAGCAGAGCCAACTGCATTGCAGATGTTGAAAGAAGATCTACAGTGCACGGAATCTAAAAAAGAAGGAAGCATGCTATTGTTAGTGGTAATATGAACACATTGATAAAGTTTTGAGCGTTACAACTCAATTACTAAATAAAAAATAAAAAAATTAAAGAACACACACTTATTTGGAACCTAACCTGGTTTATGGTACACCTCATGTATCGTGGACTACAATTCCCAGCATCTTTAACTATATAATCACTTGTTGCAGGCTAGACAAAGAAGTAAATAAAATAAACAGTGTAAAAATTGGTAGCATAACATGTTGACATGTCAATGGTGAACATATCATTCAGCTAACATTCAAACCAGTTAAAGTAGACTCAGCTAAAAAAAATGGAACCAACATAGAACATCAATAAATAAAAATATGAACTTTGAATCAAGTAATATCACTGCATACCGGGGGAGGGTTAGCCTGATTGTCTTGTCGTGTCTCATGAAAAATAACAGTAGAATTTGGGGTCAGGCGGGGTATCTGGTTGGGATCAATTTTTGACTGCCCTGTTTGACCCAAAGCCATGGATTGGTTTGGAAGCGGCGGTCCACCTGATGGCATGCCATATGGCTGCTGCTGACCAGGGAAAGGTGGTGGAGCACCCTACACCAAACAATTTATTTTAAACAGAAACCTAGCCAAGTAGTTGCACTTTCACAGTAAAATTTATGAAATAGAATGATTTCATCGATTATCAATTAACAAAACAGAAAAGATAAGCAGATGCAGCACTAAACATAATTGTTTCACATGATCCCAATTACTGCTACCTTTTCAGAATAAGTATTTGAGTGACCAGTTGCTTGCCAATAAATTATCAAGCTTTTAAATAAATTCACACCAATAAATTACTAGATTTCTAACAAACAATGGTTCTTGTGGTATTCCAAGGAAAGAAGAAACACAGTACTTTTCAAGATTGTATTAAGTTAAAATGAAATATAAGAAACAAGCAATGACTGTGTTTGTTTCCTTCTAGGGATGTTTTTCAGCATTCAAGAAAACACATTAACAAAATAATAACTTTTCTTAATATATCAAATACAGACACATATTCAAAAGCATGTCAGTACCAATACTAAAAAGAATAGATTACACATATAAACTTGTATGTGTTACACAATTATTTATTATAATATTATCACCATGCGTTTGTTTACTTTGGCTTTGTATTTGAGTGTTCGGTTTAAATAATAGTTTGATGTAATGTTTTGTAAAAAGAAATATTATATTTAAATAGGGGATTTCAAGGGTTGCATAATAAAGAAATTGAAAGGCAAAAAAAAAAGATAGAGCCCATACATCAATACAGCTCTATTCGTTTGTGGATTTCCAACCCGGATTTTACTATTCATTAATTTTTTTTCCAAAAATATCAAATCAAATATATATCTTTTATTTTTCAATAATATTAAAAATCAATTTTATATTCAAAATTTACATCAATACCTATTTATATCACATCAAATAACTATTTCAATTCAAAATTTTGCTATTCAAAGCCCCAAACCCGCAAACAAACACACCCTACATTATTCAAATCTAAATATAATTTTATATATACAAAAATATATGAAACTAAATAACCACATTTATATCTTTTATACATGCAACAAACTTTTCAAACCAAAATTATACACTAATTTAGCCCAAAAACATGATATCTAATTTCACATGAAGAGAACATTTAATTAAAAACTTCACCTGTTGAGGCCGCTGTCGCCATCCCTGCATCCCAAAAGGAGAACTAGATGGCTGAGGCATGCCTGGAACTGGACGTGAAAAGGGAGATGAGCCTGGAGGCAGCGGCATGGTTTGTGATTGGGCTGAAAATGGAGTGTGTGCCGGAGCTGAAAATGGTGGAGCTGGTTGTCCCATCGACGACGATGCACCAAAGGAGGAACTACCAAAACCAGGACGCTGATGTAGAGGCTGTGAAGACGGCCCAGGAGGCACAACTGGAGACTGTGGATGTCCAACTGAAGGCTTGGGCATATTACTACCAACAGGAGGGAACTGAGGCCCACCTTGTGTTGCCCCTAGGGCAAATGCAGGTGGTCCATTGCTAACCATATTTCCAGTTTGAGGCGGAGTTGAAAGCTGTGATGTAAGAGGGGTTGACGAAACAGACATTGGACGAGGACCAGTCCCGGAAGGTGGGGCAGCAGCAGCAGCAGCAGCAGAAGGCCTTGCAAGTGAAGAAGGAAATGCCCCGGGTGGGGCAGGTCTCGATACAAAAGGAGGAGGCTGTGCAACCAATGGAGAGCTGGTGGGTCTAGCAGGCCCCATAGTTTGAGAAGGTGGACCAGAAGGTAAATGACTCCTGGGGAAGGCACTGGGTGGGGGTGGACCTGGTCTGCCACCAGTAAAAGGCGGCGGCTGGCGGCTGAATGGTGGAGGATTAGAAGGTCTAGGGGCACTACCACCAAGGTTACTCAATTGCTGTTGATTAATCTCAAGATTTTGCATACTATTAGCAATTGCATTAGGGTTTGTACCAGGGCGTACATTCCCTGGCCTTTGCCCTCCAGGAGTTTCCATTCAGCTAGTTAGAATCAAGTTTTATTGAAATCCTGAATCTTTAACGAAGAAAATCACTATTTCTGCTTATTCAACCCCAATCTAATCAATCTACAAATCAAAAGCAATAACATAATAGATTTAAAGACCGAACAAGAGGCAGATCAAATTAAAGCGCGGAATATCAAAACCTGTGATGGCAGCCGAAATTCCGGCGAGCTCGAACGGAAACCGCCACTTTCCGGCCAGATATCGATCTGAGAAAAACACAAAACCGCAATTGAATATAAAAAAATCCAGCAAACATGATCAGATAAGCGTAATTTCTAAAATTAACCAGGCGAGGCCTGGAAATTGGCAGTACCTGAATTCTACAGTGCAATGGCTGTATTGTAGCCTCTGAAGCGAAGGTTTTTCGATCGATTAACATTCATCGATCGAATCAAAGCAGTGCAGATAAAAACTCCAACACAAGACAGTGATGAAATGGCGAATGATCTCAAAGTCACAGACGTATTTGTGAAATCAGTTAAGAAATCTCCTTGCCTGTTTGTGTAATTCTTATTACATGGAGTGATGACGTGTCGTCATCTGATTGGTTCAAAAATAAGAGTTACACCTTATATAGCACCAATGTCTTTTAACAAATAAATAAATAATTAGTTAATCCTTCCCCTTATAATTTTTAGAAACAAATTGTTATTTGAATTAAAATATTTTTCCTTTTTCTTTATAAAACTTTTGTGTAATTTAAATTTTTATTTAGAATCAAATTTGGACAAGAAGGATATTTCGTGCAAGAAGTTTCGCGCAATAAATAAACTACAATGTATATTTTACATTTTTACTAAAATACAAATATAAATGTGTGTTATATAATTTACTCAATTAAATAGGTACTATTAATGTTTTGATTATGAAGATATTTGTACATAATTAACTTGTCCTAAATTATATCAAAATTGTTTGGGGAAGGATCACACAATTTCGACGCAATCCTCATAAATATTACAAAATATATATTGTTTTTTATAGTATTTATTTTTAATAAAAAAGTAAATATTATTAGAACTGTAAAATAAATTATTAATAAAGTTATTTTCATTTGCTTTGTTTGAATTTGTTAAATGATTGGATGAACATACTATAAATTTTTATAGAAGATTATAAATTATATTGTAAAAAAAATTAAACTAAAATTATCATGAATGCCATGAAAACATCAACACTTCCGATGTCTCCAAGTTTATTTTTTAGACATGGTGGCATAGTGTGACTTATTTTATCGGACCTAGTTAGCAGAATATTAAGTTCGATTGAGCGTTTACCCAGAGCGCACCCGAAAGGTCCTATAAAAATAGTTTGGTGGTGTGGAGATGGATTTGTGACCGTGAGGTCATAGATTCAAATCTCGATGTCTGCCACACATAATTCGTCTAATGTGACTTGTCTTGTCGAACCTAGTTTGCAGAAACTATTAACTTCGGTCGAGGGTTTATCTATAGTGGAGGAGAAGGGAAAATCAAAATGAATACTTCTTTAATTCCAAATTAATTCAATTATTATTATTATTATCATTTTTTTATATTTTAATTTGTCTTAAACTATGTGAGTGTGTTTCGTGTATCTATGCGTGGGAGGTGACTTGAGACGTTGGAGATTTGAACCCACGAGGTCATAAGTCCAACCTCACAACACCAGACAGTCAGTTCTATTTTGAAAGGAGAGAGGACTGTGAAATATTTTTCAAACTACAAGTAGTTTTATACTCCTTCCGTTCCTCGAAAGATGGAGTCTTTTTGTTAGATAAACAGTATTTTAGGTAATGTAGGCTATTAAGTTATTAATAATAAGTTAAAATAATATTTTATTATTTTTTATCTGTGTAGTATTATTGGTATTTTAAATATTTTTAGAATTATATCTCAATAAAATATATGCAATATGTATATCATTTTGTAGACAATAAAATTTTATAAAATACAAATGAATAAAAAAATATAGTATATATTTATCATTACAGTAAAAATTAAATTGATTTATATTTATTAAATATGTTTAAAATTGATAAACTTATTTTTTATAGTGATAAATTTGTTTTATATATTTACATAAAGTAAATGGATTAACATAAAAAATACTACTTAGGCACACCCCCGGGACTCACTCGGGATCGAACTCAAGACTCAACCTTCAAATTTAAGGATATCTCAGCGCTCGATGTACAAGGGTTTAACTATTAAATTATATAAATTTATTATTTTTACCATCAAGTTTCCATGCATTTGACTGTGGTCCCTGATATCTACAATATTTATACATTGACCCCGCCAATTTTGTGCTATTTGAATACAGAGCCCCACCAAAAAAATAGAAAGGCGAATTGGAATAGCTTCCAATAGAGCGCGCAAAGACAGGGGAGTAACTGTTCCCTTTGGAACCGCCATTTCCGACCTCTCCAATTTCTTCGGTTCCTAATTCCTTTACTCTTTCTTCTCCTCCTCCTCCGAGCTCTACCATAAATCCGGATGGTAAGGTGTTTGTTTCTACTCTCTCAATCTCCACATCCACATTGTGGAATTGTTGAAAAGCGTTTCGAGGAGACGGAAACTTGTGAAAATGGCTATTCCTCGCAAGGATCCATCGCAGCAACCATTGATCCCAAACTTTCTGTACTCGTCGTCGCTGTCGAGTAAGAGTTGGATGGATTTGAAGCAGAATTTTATGGCGAGCGGGAATAACGCGCATGGAACGTCGCATCCATCGGCGGTTACGCTGCCGTCGGCGGGGATCGTTGGGAATTTCATGATTCCGGCGCCTAGTGAGAGTAGGATACCGCTGTTTTCGCCGGCGTATTATATGGCGTGTACCTTTGGAGGAATTTTGAGCTGTGGCCTCACTCACATGGCCGTAACTCCGCTCGATCTCGTCAAGTGTAATATGCAGGTTTATTTTATTTTTTTCTTTTTTCTTATTTATTTTTTATAATTTGGTTATTGATTTCCATTATTCTCATCACAGCTCGGGTATCTATCTGCGTTGAATTTTGAAATCGGATTTGGACTTCTGTTGATGTGACCTTTATCCGAGACGATGAGTTTCAATTGATTAGCTTAGGACATCAATAGGAAAGATTGGATAGATCTGTTGCCGTGTATTGCTTGATAAATCTGTGGAATTAACAATTAATGTTAGGAGGCAGGGTAATTATAATACATTCACATTGGAATCATTTATCTGTTTTAACTTGATGAATGAATTGCATGAACCTTTGTAAATCATCCGAGGAAGATGTTGAGTGATCTTATAAGCTTTGAACATTTTTAGCAAGTGAAATTTCAGTTTGAGCTACAATTTCAATGAAATTTTGGTTTAATTAGTGTGTTAGATGACTTGTGCTATTTTCTTTTGCTTTTTTCTCATTGTTATTTTGTTTTCTGATTGTGAGAGCAAGTCCAAGGGACTCTAAATTTGGAGAAATACTCCAGCAAAAAAGACTCCAACCGACTCCATTTTGATCTCCAATTTTAGAGCAATCTACCTGTTCCTCCATTTTTTTTTTTAGGAACAGGGAGGAACACTGTTGCAATCTACCTGTTGGTCCTTCAACTTGGGAGTTTATATGTGGTATTTTTAATATAATTATTTATTGTTATTATTATTTGGCTTGATATTTGAGTTTTGGCTATGATTATTATTATTTTTTTAGTATATATGTAATTTCACCTTAATTTTTTATTTTATTTTTTTACATAAAGAATTAAATAACATAATTTATTATTATTATTATTATTGTAATGAAATTATCTCAGTAAAATAATTTGAATTTATTGAAATTTTTTTTAGGTTAATATGTAAATAGATAAAAGTTGAATGAAGATTATGTAATCCTTTAAAAATAAAGAATATATGTGGAATATTCATTTTAGAGGAAAAAATAGGGTGAGTTGGAATGGAGTTAAAGTTTAAAAGAAAATTTAGAAAAAATAGAGAATCGGTCAGAGATAAGTCTGATTTTTTTTGTTTCACCATGTGAATTGTACTCTACCTAAATGTATGTCTGAGGAGATGAACACAAAATAAAAAAATAAAAAAGCCCTGAGGTGAATAATAAATATTACTGTTCAAATTAATACTGTATAATTTTAGTTTGGGTTATTTTTAGTTATATCTGAGCTATTTTGTTCTTCTCAAGTTGTTGGTTATCTTATCAAGCTTCATGGTTCTTATTTTCTATGGCACGAAACACTACTAACTTCATGCATCCATAGATATACAATATAAGCAAAATATATAGTTGAATGTAATGAATGCTCAATGATTGGGAATGACTGATGTAACATTTTTAAATTGAATTCTTACACTTACAATTGAGTTCTGTGAGATAATATCAATGCTGAATAACAACTTTTTAGGTAACTTCAATCTCATCAGACGAATTTCCTACAAACTATTGCTGTGACATAAATTTCCATTGATTGGTATTATGAAGGCCATTTGAAGTTTCTTAAAAGAAAAACCATCGGCGTGCTTCTTTTCGCATTTCTACTCACTTCACCATTATCCTTCAGATCAATCCTGCAAAGTACAAGAGCATTTCCTCCGGCTTTGGAGTTCTTATGAAGGAGCAAGGAGCGAAAGGTTTCTTCAGGGGTTGGGTGCCAACTCTGCTTGGGTACAGCGCACAGGGAGCTTGCAAGTTCGGGTTCTACGAATATTTCAAGAAATTCTACTCCGACCTCGCTGGCCCCGAGAATGCAGTCAAATACAAGACCCTCATCTTCCTTGCAGGATCTGCTTCTGCCGAAGTTATCGCTGATATTGCCCTCTGCCCCTTGGAAGCTGTTAAGGTTCGAGTCCAAACTCAGCCCGGCTTTGCTAGAGGTCTGGCTGATGGATTTCCTAAACTTGTCAAAGCTGAAGGCGTCGCAGGGTACACATTTTTCTCATTACTCATTTTTTTTATTGTAGGTTGTGCTTAAGAAAAAAAAAACTTATATTAAGTGATTCTCACAATGAATTGTCTTCGACAGGCTTTACAAAGGGATCGCCCCGCTTTGGGGACGGCAGATTCCATGTAATCCCGCTACTAACTCTTAACCAATTTATGCATTTTTTCGTTATACTTGAATTGATCCGCGCGTTAGGTTTGCATTGTGCCAAATAGCCTCTAATCACTCTGTTCGAAAGTTTTTATTTTTTTTATCCAAAGAGTTGCTGTTTAGTTCTTCCTTTGGATCCAATATTCGTCTCTAGAATTACGGGCTTCGCTCCAATACTTTGATCGTATTACTACATTTTCTGCAGATACAATGATGAAATTTGCGACTTTTGAAAACATTGTCACGGCCATCTACAAGTACGCCATCCCAACTCCTAAAGACCAGTGCAGCAAAAACCTGCAGCTCGGAGTTAGCTTTGCAGGTGGCTACGTTGCCGGGGTGTTCTGCGCTGTCGTCTCTCATCCTGCTGACAACTTAGTGTCTTTCCTCAACAATGCCAAAGGCGCAACTGTTGGCGATGTGAGTATATACCGCCATTTCCCATAATCAAATCACAGGACCAAATGATAAACCCTCTCTCTTAACTCAGGCTATTAAAAAGTTGGGAGTATGGGGTCTGTGCACCCGAGGCCTCCCGCTGCGTATTGTCATGATCGGCACACTCACCGGCGCGCAATGGGGCATCTACGATGCATTCAAAGTTTTTGTTGGCCTGTAAGTCTTCTTCACTCTCTGTTCATTATGTGATGATCACAGCTTGTTGAACTTGATTTGAAACTTGACTTGTTAATCGTATATGAATGAGTCAAGTTTCAACTCAATACAACACTTGATTCATTGGTGATTATATTTAAATTTATTATGCAATGGATTAAAAGGAAGCACATGATAATTGTTTACATAGTTATAATCTACATAGTACATATTGTTTAAGTTTTTTTTACTCAAATACCAGAGAATGTTAATCGCTAAACATAGTATATTTTGTTTTAGTCTTTATTTTTTTTTTTTTTACTCAACATTAGGGAATGTCAACTACTAAATCTCTATAGTACATACTTTCTCTGTCCCACCTACTATGTTCATGTTGCCCGTTTTTGTCCGTCCCGCATTTCATGTCACTTTCTTTTTTGGAAAATGATTAAGCATTTTAATTTTATTTTAAATTTTTTAATTTAATTTTTTTTTAATTTTAATTAAATTAATTAGTTATCTTAATTTTAATCTATAATAATTAGGGAATATCAACCACTAAATCTATATAGTACATATTGTTTAGATTTCTTTTTTAGTTGGACACTAGAGAATGTCACTAAATCTATACAATATATGTTGTTTAGGTTTTGTTTTTTACTCAAGCACTGGCAAATGTCAGTCACTAAATTTACATGGTACATATTGTTTAGGTTTCTATTTTAGTTAGACACTCGGGGAATGTCAACCACTTAGTCTATATTGTTTAGTATTTTTTTTACCTAGACACTAGACAATATCAACCACTAAACTGTTGTGCATATTGTTTAGGTTTTCTTTTTACTTAAACACTAGAGAATGACAACCACTAAACCAACATAATTCTCCGTCCACCGTTCAAATATATTTTCACTTTCTTTTTTTTAGTTGTTAAAAAAAGAAAAAAATTATATTTTTACATATTTTTTTTAAAATTCGTGCCCGATCAAATGAACACACAATTGGATGTCGAAGAGAGTATATATTATTATTATTATTATTATTGTTGTTTGTGTGTGTGTTCCTTCAGGCCTACAACTGGTGGTGGCAGCCCTGCTCCTGCTAAGAAGTGAAGATACAGACCGAAAAAGGAAAACAAAATTACAAAATGACCATTATAGAGTTGGACGCCATTCTTGCTTGAATACTTTATGTTCTTTTGACTCTCAAATAGTGTTTTTTTTTTTTTTTATCTTTCTCTCTCTCTTAGTTGAACATACACATACACAAACTATATAGTAGCACAGCTTATTATACTATATCATCTTTTGCATAATCAGAGACCCACTAATCACCTTATGAGTGATCTCTTGTACAATCAATCAATCAATCAGCAACAAATACTTAACAAATAAAAACTATACGATACCATAGACATTTTACCATTTTTTTTTTTTAATGACGGACTCGCAGTCTTTTTTTTTTTTAATGACGGACTCGCAGTCCAGGCGCTATCCGAAAGTGCACTGAGTAAACCAATGTACAACTTAGGCTTTGTGTTTTGTTTTGATTTCAAATCTTATTTTTTACAATGAAAATATATTATTTTTATTTTACAAAATATTATTTTTAAATATTAATTAAATTAAAACTTAAACCAAAACACAAACACAAAAATCCAAGTTTTGGTCACTTATTTGAATAGATTATGAGTGGTAGAATTTTCACTCTATATCTTAAGAATACAATGAATCACATAGTAAATAATATTTTGTATTAAATGATTGATTTTTTATAAATAGATAAAATATATATATTATATATTATGTTAATATATCTATGTACTGTATTTTTTAATAATATTTGTGAAAAATCATACCACTAAATAAACAATCCGATAATATATATAAACTTTTGTAATAGATAATTTCTAATTGAAAATTTTCCAGAAGAATAAGAGATTAATTTGCTCACATTTTTCAATATATCTTTTATCCATCAACCATCATTACCAAATAACAAAACTCTCCTAGGCGACGGCCTGGTGGTGCGGTCGTGTGGAGAGTGAATTTGTGACCGTGAGGTCATTGGTTTGTCAATGAAACTTGCCTTGTCGAATCTAGTTTGCAGAGTCTTAAATTCAATTACGGATTGCCACATCATCAAATAAAAAAAAAAAAAAAACCCTCCTAGGCCAGTACCGGATCATCAACCCCCTCTTTTCCCTTTTCCTATACACTATGTGCATGTATGTATGATTATTATTTATATATATATATATATAAAACACTCCGCTTTTTAATCCATCATTAAATTTTTATTCCAACCTATCACATAAAACAATAACTTTTACTTCGACTAACCCCCCATTGTTACAACCCCAACTTACAACCAAACACAACTTCGAACATTTTCAATTTGAAAATAATTCAAATCCAGCTAAAAGAACTCCCAACTTAAAACGAAACGCACCTTACTTGTTTGGAAGCGTATAATCGAGAGGGTATATGGTGTCAAAGACGACTCTTGCAAAGACATGCCGGACTTCCTTTACACTTCCCATAGCCAACCACTCGTAATCAATCTTGCTTCCGTGTTTCCCGCCACATCGTTTTATTCTTTCGCCTCCGCCGCCTATGCACTCAAAAATCTTGCATGCTCTCAAGTAGAGTGGCAATGGGAAGAACACCTGCAGATTAATATTATGTGCATTGCAATGCTCAACGGATTTTGTGAAGACAAGAAGCAACTAAAAAATAGACCAGGGACATGTAAATATATATATATATATATATTAGCCTTAGAAAAAATTGCAAAAAATTATCCCACACGTATACAAAACTATCGTTTTTGTCTTGTATTTATCTCGCTGGCAAAAAATATTATATATATTTGCAAATATCGTTATTTCTGTCCTTTTGTCGCGCATGATGTTCACACCACGGAGGCCAAAAGACAGAAAAGTAATAATGATGTATACATGAAATAATTTTTTGCAGTTTTCCCAGCAGCCTTGAAAAAATGTCGGGAAAATTGCAAAAAATTAACCTCAATGTATATTCAATTATCACTTTTATCTTTTATTCTTCGCTAGCAAAATATATCCTATATGTTTACAGATTAATATTATGTCCATTGCAATGCTCAAGGGATTTTTTAAGATAATAAGCAACTAAAATAGACTAGTGACATGTATATATATATATGTATATAGAGCAGCCTCGAAACAATGTCAGAAAAATTACAAAAGATATCCTCCATGTATACTCAATTATTACTTTTATCCATCTTTTTTTTCGCTAGCAAAATATATCATATATATTTGCAAAAGTCTTTATTTTTGTTCTCTAGTCGAGCGTGGAGCAATCGTCATATGAACATATCCCACGGCCGGATGACAGAAATAGTGACTTTTGCAAACGTGTAGGATACTTTGCCAACGGGATAAATAAATGACAAAAGTGAAAATTTGGTATACGTAGATGATATTTTTTGCAATTTTCTCAAACAATGTCGATGATATGCATATTTAAAAGAAAGCTGAAAAGCTGAAAGAGTTGAAAATAATGCAAAAGAAATGCTTACGAGATCTGAGATTGGGGCCTCTGGGTACTTAGCCATTGCCTGGGAGACAAAATGCACGTCTGTCATGTTCATCAGCGCGGTTCGGACAGAGGCTGCTAAATCCAAAACATCTTCCATGAGGGTGTCGGAATCCAAATTTTGAGGCTCTGACAACTCGGGAAAACTTGAATCGTGCTGTTTGTTGATTCGTCTTGCAATATTGCAGGCTTCGGGTAAATCGCCACCGTTGTTTAATGCAAGGCTGAAGGCAGAGATCACTGTGGGATCCCTTGGTTGTTCTGAGAGGGCAGCATTAAATGCTAAAATTGCGAACCTGAAAATCACGTGTCGACAAAATTAATCTAACCAAGCTCGAAACTATAAAATGAGAAAATGATAGCACAAAAAACTAGTTGTGAATATCTGACCATAAGCTATTGTTGCATGGCCTGTCTGGAGCCAGGAGTTTGTCGAGGTTCGCGAATAAAGACTGCGTGCAAAACAAAGCAAAACATTATCATCTCTAAGAACAACCCCGTCTCACCTCCCTATCGTAATATCATTTTTATTTTAAGAACAATATTTATTCTTCATTTATCTACCAAATTTATTTTTCGTTCAAAATATCCATTTATATATCATACCGGGCAACTTTCAATTCGAAATTTAGACTATACTCAAAACACATCATGTAAATGCAACTATAATCTTGAACAGCAGGTAGCATTATAAGAAGTAAAAAGAACATTAAAAAGTAGCCTTATCTAATCGCGGTGAAGAGCGAAAATAAGAAGGCAAACAAATTACCAGTAGCATATTATACCGCTTGTCACGTCTCACAAAACCATTGCGCACAAAATATGCTGCCTGCAAATGATACTATTGTACTCAATCACCCCAACTTTGAACAACAGAAACTCAGGTATGTGTAAGACAGATCAAATTGATACCCAATATTATCCCCGAAGATTTAAAATTGAAACCAAACAACAACATCAAGATACTAAGGTCCTGTTTACATACTGTTAAAATTTACTGTTGTACTATTCATCCACAGTAATATTTTCAAAATAATATTACAATTCACGTAAAATATATATTCTCTCATAAAACATTACATCAGTCATCAGGTACTCAGCCTTTTACTATTTCCCCAAAATTTCTAAAACTCCAAAACTTCTAAAAAATTATATCTAAACAGAGGCGTGCATATTTGGTACTCCCTCCGTCATCCAATTGTGTGCTCATTGGGCAAGAATTTTAATAAAATAGGTAATAATTGTTACTTTTTGTCATTTCATAATAAAAAAAGTACAAAAAGGTAATGTACATTTTTTTGCTAAAAAATGAAATGCCTTCTTTTTTTATGAAACACCAAAACAGTTCAATTATTGAGTTAGTTAAAAATGACAAATACAAGTAAAAATATAAAAATAAAATCTTCTTAGAAACAATTATACGATATTACAACATCTTTTAAGGTAGGCTTAATTCCATACACATTCTGTTACGACGAACAGCAAAGATTAAGACGTGTTAAAATTGGATTAAATATTTGGCATGACTAAAGAATACAAAATAGCTACTGCAAGGGGACATAAGTAAGACACTCCTACTGTAAAATTAATGAGAAAAAGTGTACCAAATGTACCTTATCGAATGAGGATGGACATTTCTCATTTCAATTCTTAAATTATAAAATGTGGATGGAAATTTCCCATTTCAATTCTTAAAGTACCAAGTCAACCATTTCATATACATAGACATATAACCTGAACAGGCAGAAGAATATCCAGAAGGCCAAGCTTCCATAATAATCTCAATGAGGCCTCAGCAGAACCATATGCCATCATGTAATTGACTTCCATGAGGAGCCGTCCCTGACAATGCCAACAATAAAAAAAAAAATGAAGTATTAGATCATCATTATATGGATGTTGAACAAAAAGCATGCCACATGAACGATGAATACCCTATCAAGACGTATAACTGAACCAGAAAGTTTTTTCACTGCAAGAGCTGTCTCTTTTGAGAATCGAAATCCTAAACGAGCAGCAATTCGAATTGCGCGAAGAATACGAGCTGCAAGAGAAAAACATTATAATCTAGTTACAGTGAAGGTGAAAAAAATAGACCAAAATGGCAGCATCATTAATTTAGGAAGAACGGAGGCCCCAACACATTTTGACAGTCAACACTGGTAGCAACACAACTTAATTAAAAGATGATTCATTTTGAAGTAGGAATAAGAAATTACCACAATCTTCAGTCAACGAAAGACTAGCAGGTTTGATTGTCCGAACCTTCATATTAGAAAGCAAAATAAATACATGATGAAGAAAAAAAACTATAAAGGGCTCAAAGAAAGTGAAGTTAAAAAGATTAGAGGTACATGCACACTTTGGCTTTTCGAATGTCATTCACTCCACCCATGTAATCATACACCAGCTTCTTGTAAGGATCAAACAACAATCTGGATCAGAAACAAGAAATTTAGCTTCAGAAACTATGCTTGATACAGTAATTTTGTACTTGAAACCATGTCTAGGCTACCAAGTGAAGTTAATTTTGCAAAAGGGATATCCGGAGAGATATATGAGACAGCAGTTTCCAAATGAAATTTTTCTAAATAACAAGTAGGGACAAACTTAAAACCCATTTATTGTGAAGTCTCGCTGCAGGCAGTTGCTCCAGCGAACATAATCATTCTCGTCACAGCTCAATGGCTTCTCAGGATCCCAACTCAAGTTTCTACCATACCTTTGTGCACGAGTGCTAAAGCTGGAAACCTATTACATTTCAAAGGATCAGTGCACCTTAATTTCCTGAATTTAGTAGTCCAGCTGGATTGAAGAATGTGAAGAAGACCAAATAGGTGGGTGATGAATGATCTTAGGTAAATCCATGGTGGAAATGAGACAGTGTGTCAATTGGGGAAAAATGTAAAACTTGTTTGAATGGCGGTAAAATAAGGATTAACCAAAATTTTCTGTTGTGATGACAATACAAATAGAGAGAGAGAGAGAGATAAGAAATGGCTAAAGTGCAACACAAATTTTAGAATGCTTTATATTTAAATGTAAGACAAGCAGACAAACCTCCACAGTGGTATTACCAATATGAACATGACAGATCGGAAAGCGTCTGCCAATAATCTCACTTCGAGAAAACAGTCTCACCACCTAAATATTAAGATGATAAAAAAGTTAATGTTCACTGGAAAAAGGAAGAAAAATAAAAATTACTTGCACGTGAACTTCCTAACAGATATCACTAATCCATTATGAGAATAAAGCAATCATGTGTGGCACTGACACAATGATGGAATATAATTATCAAACAATTCAGACCAGACAAAAAACATCTTGTAGAAAAATTTAAGTACCACTGTTTCATATGTCGAGCATGCACAAAATTTGCAGGATCTGATACTTTTTACAGATATGATAGTATCTACATATATAAAGAATGGAAGATTATATGGCTGACCTCTCTCAATTCAGCTGAGGTTATAATATCAAAATCTTTAGGAATTCGATTCAAGATAAGATCCCTTACACATCCTCCCACAAGGTATACTTCAAAACCTAAGGAAACAAGACAGGGTGTGAATATGGGGTTCCAGAAGTCTTCAAACCAACGAGAAGAAGAAAAGAAAGAAAACATGTGCAAGTCACTGTCTTGATCAATTTTGCGGAAATGAAGATCATGTAATCTTTCCATTCAGTTCTTTGCATTCATAACCATTCACAACCCCAAAAGCATAAGTAAAAAACTCCATTCAAATAAAAATCAACCATCTGAAAGTTTACAAATTACAAAACAGATGGGTAACCCAGCCTGAGTTTCTACCGAGCATTACGACAATATTTTTCCAATTCAAATCATAAAACAGTTCCAATCTCGCTGCCGATGAAAATAGTTAAATCGCAGTGTACAAAAAAAAACCACAAACACTTTAATTACCATAATGTAATGAGTGGAAATGGATAAAGCTACAATATTACAACTCTGCAATACACTTATGGCAACATCACCTTCCTAAGTAGCAATTTCAATACTGATCTAGCAAGGGAGAGTAACCATCATCTAGCAAATCAATATCGTATTACCGCTGCTTTTAAGACCATTAAGAACAACTCTAGTAGGCCTTGAAATTTTCTTAGTACAAATCCCAAGCTCCTCCGACTTCAACTTCTTCCACTGCGGAGCCTTTCCAGTCGCACCACCGCTGCTCGAACGATCAGTTACTGCACATACAAAGTCGTACACAAACAAAAACGCAAAATGTTCCAACAATCGCCAAAACCGCCATAGAGCAGAAAACAGGCCAAAAAAACGACAAATTAAAAAATCTAAAGTCACCTTTATCCGTCTCTGTGCTGTAAAAAGCATCAACTGCAGCTGCATAGCCCACCCTCACCTGCCGAAAAACGTTCCGAAACATGAATTAACAACATACACACATAAGAACAAACAATTCTAGCAAAGAAGGATTACACAAACATTAACCTGCAGAAAGTAATTGCGGAAAGGAGAACGGAAAGGCAAATGATGGAGGCGATTGAATCCGAAGCCGGCTGAAATGGCCATCGGCATTCACATCTGGACGTAGGGTTTATCACTACCTGAAGAACATCCAACCGGAGAACACACACAGCTTTCGATTACAGGGTTTAACGATATACAAAAATATCTGCACTAAAAGCGTGTTTTGAGATAACGTTGAAATCGCGCTTTCAGTTACAGCGCTTTTAAGGTCACATTGGGCCTTTCTTTTTTTAGAGTTGGGCTGCAGGCCCAAAGTGTACATGAATATTTAGAGTTTAGTAGGCCTCTTGCAATAATTCAAATTTTTTTATCCATTTTCACTAATTAATAAAATATTATTTCTTTCATTTTCAAAAAAGTCGTCTTATTTTTCTATTTTCGTCCCTCTAAAAACAATTATTTTATTTCTTTATCTAGTAAAAGTGGTTCCCACTTTATAACAAAATTATTTCTACTTTTTCAAACTATCCCTAATTATTACTCTAGTCAACTTTTTAAAATCCTTTAAGGATATTTTAGTCTTTTATATTTTACTTTATACTAATTTTTAATTAAATAATATTATTCCAGAGGTATTTTTGGGACGGGGAGTGTTATTTATTAATTTACTATAATTTTAAAATACGAATATATTTTTTTTAAAGTAAATTTGACCGCTATATTTATTTACATCAAATTAAAATATATAAAAAAAAATCTTTCATGAAAAAAATAAATATATGTTGTACTATAAGACAGATTAAAAACAAACATAAAAAAATAATAATAATAATAAATAAAACATCCCAACTTGTACACAAAGAATACATATGTCTAGTGCTCGTGTTTGTGTTTGAAATTATCATTCTCATTACGAATTTATTTCTTTAGCAAAACTTTCTCAAAATTTATTAAAAAATATAATTTTTTCTCTTGTAAAATATTTCATTAAATATTAATTTTATAGTAAATTCAAATTAATATATTTTTTTAACTTATCAAAAGAAAAACACTCTTAAATATTAATTTAACGTGATCTTTTATAAAAATAAAAAATATATATATTTATATAAACATCATATCATTACATACTTAAAAAAAAAAAAAAAAAAAAAAAAGCAATTTAATTGTACCCTCAAATCATATAAAGAAAGTATAAAAACAAATTTATAAACTTTCGGATAGCGGCTGCAAATTATCACGTTATAATAAAAAAAATATAAAAATAAAATTACAGTATTAATCCAATAAAGCCAGAGCCGAAAAATTGACTAAATAAAATGGGGGAAGAACATGAATATTATTATTATTTAAAATTTTATTAATTTGCTTTATTTATTCATAATATTTATTCATTTACCTTTCCAAGTATGTATATACATATAGATATATATATATATATATAATCATGTACTAAATTATAAAACAATATTTCAAACAGTAAATAGAAGTAAAATGGGGTTGAAAATAAAATTAGCAAAATAAATAAATAAATCATTAATCAAAGATAGTAGTTATTTGTTATATTTTAGCTTTTGTATTAATTGATCAATTCCATGAAATTTACATGCAAAATACATAAAAGCAAATATAATAATAATAATAATAATAATAATAATAATAATAATTGACTATATGCTTTTAATTATAACTGTTATTTTATAATTTGGTATTATTATATTTTAGACTTTATTTGTTATCACACACTTCTTATTTCAATTCATCTTAAGTAGACATAGGTTTTTTTTTTTTTAGTTTAATTGTAATTTAAATAATTTTTTGATATAATATATTTTTATTAAAAATCATACCGATTATACTTATAGTACTTTCAATATGAAATCAAAATCAAATACACTCGTAATCATTAATTTGTCAAACTACATCAATCGATCAACTATTATGAATTAATAAATTTGATTTACGTGTTGCCTATTACAATTTACAGAAAAATCTAAAAATAAATAAAGAGCAAATTCACGACAAAACGAGGGTTTCTATCTATCAATCAATCGACTTCAACTCCGCATGCATATATATCAATTTCGATCCGTGATTTAATTTGTTGCCAGCTATATTATGAGAATGTCTTTAGCAAAACGACACCAATCGATCCAAGCTGTAATAAACTTACTCCGTACATTATTACAAGAAAGTGAAACTCGAACACGACTTGTTTTCTTCCTATGTTTGTTATGGACATACATCGTATTTTCTTGTGAATTTCTCGCAAATTTTTTATTATTTGTTTAACTTTTTTGTTTTTTTTTTTCAAAAGTATCAAATCGAATAATTAATTTTTTATTTTTATAGTATTCTAAAAGTTGAATTTATATTCAAAATATCGCATAAATATCTATTTATATTACATTAAACAACTGTTCAAATTCAACTTGCTATTCAAATCAACAACGAAACACGTCTGTATTATGTATTTATCACTTATTGACAAATCCATTAAATTTGATTGACTGCGGCGACGATGAGGAAGAAGACGATATATATATATATATATATATTTATTTATATATATGTATTTGTATGAGATAATGACATTTTTGTCAAATATGATATTCCCTAAATCTCATTTAAATTAAATTAATTTGATAAGATGAGTTTATTGTATGTATATATATTTCCGCGTATTGTGATAAGTTGCAAAACCCCACATTTTTTGTCTCATATATTTTAATTATATATAAATTATTAAGTACTGAAAGTGAACTTTCATGACAAAGATATGGTGGAATTATGTATTTAAAATAAATAATATTTCATCAAGGCATATAAATTATGTATTTAAACTAGTTGGACATGAATTTTAATAAATAAATAAATTATATTCTCTCTGTCTCACCTATCATGTCCATATTGCCGTTTGTGTCCGTCTCACATCTCATGTCACTTTCCTTTTTTTGGTAAATGATTATACACTTTAATCTCATTTTAAACTTTTTAATTTTAATTAAACTAATTAGTTATCTTAACCTTAATCTATAATTATTTATATTATAGTATAATTATTTTCACTAATACATTCTTAATTATCTACTAATTATATTTATTCTAAATTTTCGTGTCTACAATGACCAAAAGATTCAGAGACGAATGTAGTATTTCATTAGTCATATAGATAAAAATAAAAAGATGGACACAATATAAGAAAGAAAGTACTATTTTTTCTAACAAAATATCACAACAAAATACTCCATCCGTCTCAAACATCCTGCAACATTTCCTTTTTGCACGGGTTTTTAGGTGAGTAGTATTAAGTAGGATAATTTAGAAATTATGTGATGTGATGGAGAGAGAAATATATATTTTATTTTTTTATTTGGATGATGTAAGAGGATAAAGTGTGGGGTAGAGATTAAATATAATTAATTATTTCCTATTTTAGAAATATTGCAGAGTGTTTGGGACATACCAAAAAAGAAATGTTGCAGGATGCTTGGGACGGAGGGAGTACTATTTAAACAAAAATTTTAATTAACACATCATTTCAAATCACAACCAAATAAGATGTAATATTTTATAAAAAGATACACTAAAACAAAACATTAAAATTTCTATAAAATTAGCTATGAAAATATTCGAAAATATACGTAGCTAATGAATTTGTTACAAAATTAGTCATAAAAATATATTTAGTGGCTATAAACAGTATAGCTAATTTTGCTATAAAAACTGTCATGATAATTTGCAACATATATTTAGTGGTTATAAACAGTATAACTAATTTTGACATATAATTATTTCATAGCAAATATTTGTAACTATACAAATGTTTTCTTATAGAATATACTCTCTCTCTCTCGCTAGAAAGTATACATATTTTTATTTTGGGACGTCCAGTAAACATTTCATTAAATACATCATTTTTTTTTCCACAAATACCCTTACTTTACATCACATCATTACCTATACACCAAACAGTAATGGTAAAAATGTCATTACACTACTTTTAACTACCTACTATAATTAAAATACTATTATTTTTTAAACACCACGCTAAAAATAAACGTATATTTTGTATGTGGACGGAGGGAGTACTATATTTTATGTCCCTCACACAAAGTGATATATATATATTATATGCATGTATATGTAATACTATATAAATACATATACTTTTTCGTCTTATATAAAAAATTTCTTTTTTTTTTTCTTTGTTAGTTTCATATAATTTATTATTTTTTGAAAAGCAAGTATACATTTTAATCCTATTTTATTTTTTGCTATAATTTTAATTAAATTATTTAATTTTTTTTTAATTTTATTTTATTATTATTTTTTCTTTACAATGATCATTTTTAATAATATTTATTTTTAACTATTTACTAATTATACTTGTTCTAAATTTATGTATTTACAATAATGTGGATAATTTAGTGGGATGGAGGGAGTATATAATATTCATATGTACATATATATATATATACACATTATATGTTTGTGTGTAGACTTGAGAAGTTTTTTACTATTTTTATTATTATTATTTTAAAAATATCATATCAAATTTTTTTTTTATATTATGTCATAAATTAATATATAGATTATAAAAATTACATTAAAATTTATTTATATCATACTATCTCCGTTCAGTCAGCAAGTGAACACATGTTTAACATTAATATTAACAATATTTTTATATTTGTATAATTTACTCTACAAATATTACTGTATTTGAATTATAATAAACTAATATATATATTTTTTTCATTTTCTCTTTATTTTGTATTATATTTTGATATAATTTATAGGAGTATTTAAATATCAACACACAAAAACTACTATGTACTTTGTGGTTGGACGGAAATAAAATATTAAATAACTATTCAGTTCTAAAATCTTACTATTCCAAATCATATTAAATACTCCCTCCGTCTCAATCCTGTTTACTATTTTTGCCCGTCCCAAAACAACAGTCTTATTTCCACAAATAACCATGTCACCATAAAACTACTCCTATTTTTTCATTTTTATTACACAATTGTCACTATTTTTTACACTAATATATTCACAAGGGTAAAAAAGTCTTTTATCCATGCTTTTTACCAATTACCCATATAATATCAATATTCCTTAAATCTAGTGTTCAACCCAATTAAAATTATAGTTCTGGGACGGAGGGAGTATTATTTAAATA